AACAGTGAAATTGGCTTTTTGTGCCCTGCTCCTTAATTAGCAAGCTGAATAAGTAGGACAGTTTATTGTTGGGTATTATAGGTTTGTATAAATGTTTGTTTGTATAAACTGGCTTTGAGCTGTATCTAGTTGTGTATTCTGGTGTGTGAATGTGTTTGGGTTACTGCTGCAGTCTGTGCTGCCTCCCAGCCAAAGCTGAGTAGACTGCTGACAATAGCACTTGTGTGGAATCACAACTAACCTGGACGTTGGCACACACACCGTCCTTCTCGTTGAATCATCAGGACATTATTGTGCATAATTTGATGTGTTTTCACTGATAATTCTGTTTCTTTGCGTCATCACACAACACAGAATCTCTCTACAGTCCTTGTAATTGTTCATTTAGAGCAGCAAACCACATTTGTGAGCTGATTGGACTCATATCTGGGTAAAAACTGATACTTGTGTCTTACGCAACCAAACATGAACACAGGAGAGGATATAAAAACCCTGACTAGAAGAGGGGACAACGATATTGAAACTACATTTTGCTGCAGTGTATTGTCAGCCAGCAATGATTCAGCCACGGTATTCTTCGAGTGTCATCTCCAAATATACAAAGGTTACGTCCTGTTTGCTGCCATAATGTGTCACAAGATCTCCAACACTTAAACCAAATCTGTTTTTAATTGGTCCAAGTATTTTACTATGCATGTCCTATAAAACTAGTTCTCTCTAGTACTGAATAAATCACATCTGTGGTATTCACACTAGTACACTGAAGGCTGTTTGTGGGTTTTTTTGTTGTTGTTTTTTTTGTTTTTACACAGACACTATTGGCATACAAGCACTACTGACAAACTAAATCAATAAAATTGTAGTTGATGTAAGTTTCTCATCTTAGGTACCACAACACACCCGTGTGTTCATTAACCTCCAGAAAGAGATTTTTACCTGATGGATCTGATCAGCAGGCAGCGGATTAGCTATGATCTAAGTGTTGTTGGCAAGGTTTCTTTAATCTGCCACATGCTCGTCTCTGAGGCTTGATGACGTTTTAGGGACATCTTCTTTATATATTTAAGGTTAGGAATAAAAGTGATTTATAACTGTAAGAGGGATTAAATAAAAGTGTTGCTGTTGTCACAGCATGATAAAAAAAATGGTCAAATTGATATTCTTAAGAGGCGTTTAAATAGAAATGAAGCAGGTTTTTTGTTAAATTGGGTGACTTTAATAAAAGCAGATTAGCAGTCTACTTGGGTCCGTGTCAGAGCGTTAAGCCCCACCGCCAACAAACAGCTTGTACAGGTGTGACTCTTTAAGATCTTATCAAGATCTAATCTGTCTGTCGTCCTAATTATTGGAGCTGAACTAATCCCACTAGTTGGAGCGATGCTGAGTGTTTGCCAACTAGTGCTCTATAGGGACACTTGCACCATGTGTGGTTTTAGGTCAGAAACGTAAGTCTCCTGCACCTGTAATGATAAGACTCGACAATCAGTTTTTATGCAGGACATCTAAATGCAACACCAATTAAGTGTGGTTTTGATTCCACTTCTGCTATTGTCTGGTGTGTCTTTTGGTAGGTAATTCACATTTTATTCTTCCTTGACTTGTCTTGCACAGAGAAAGCTTTAAAACAAGTATTGAAGAAGTTTGTTTAACTTGGAATATGGGTGGAAATGCTTCTTCTATATTGTCATTTCTGCAGTTCTTCCAATTTCTACTGAACTGAGTTGGAGTTGAACTGGGTCCTACCTCAAGTGGAGGAGTTTAAGTATCTCGGGGTCTTGTTCACGAGTGAGGGTAGGAGGGATCGGGAGATCAACAGGCGAATTGGTTCGGTGTCTCCAGTGATGCGGACGCTGAGCCGATCTGTCGTGGTGAAGAGGGAGCTGAGCCAGAAAGCCAGGCTCTCGATTTACCGGTCGATCTACGTCCCAATCCTCACCTATGGTCATGAGCTTTGGGGAACGAGATCGCGGATACAAGCGGTCAAAATGAGTTTCCTCCGTAGGGTGGCCGGGCTCAGTCGTAGAGATAGAGTGAGGAGCTCGTACATTCGGGAGGGACTCGGAGTAGAACCGCTGCTCCTCCGGATCGAAAGGAGCCAGTTGAGGTGGTTTGGGCATCTGGTCAGGATGCCTCCTGGAAGCCTCCCCGGGGAGGTGTTTTGGGCATGTCCTGCCAGCAGGAGGTCCCCGGGTCGACCCAGGACACGTTGGAGAGGTTACATCTCCAATCTGGTCCGGGAACGCCTTGGGGTCCTGCCGGAGGAGCTGGTGGAGGTGGCCGGTGAGAGGACGGTCTGGAGCTCCCTAGTTGGGATGCTGCCCCCACGACCCAGACCCGGATAAGCGTAGGAAGACGACGTATTTGTTAAATCTTATTTAGGGATGCACCGATACCGGTATCAGAAACCGATACAAATGCATTCGCTTGAACGTGGCTTCACTGTAACTTGCCATTTCTGTTCACCTAATAGTTTAGTTTTTTGATTATTTCTATTCATTTATTTTTCTTTTTATTTACCTCAGTCTTTTCTTGTTGAGAGCAGAGAAGAAAATAAAACCTGTATTACAATTCATAGTGTTTTTTGTGTGGTAGATGTATCGGTAATCGGTATCGGCGAGTACTCAGATCCAAGTATCGGTATCATATCAATTTGGGGAAAAAGTGGTATCGTTGCATCCCTAATCTTATTTATTTTCATTAAACACATAACCAGTAAATGAAAGGAAATCACCATAATGTCACCAATTGAGAAGATTTAGCCACTTCTCAGGAGATCTGTTCAGTTTCTGCTAAAGACAAAAGTGTCATTACTGTAAAGTAAATAAAGGTAACGTTTGTTTCTTTGTTCATTTGATTTAGTGCTACGTCCCCGACAGGAGGTGTTAAGATGTGAAGGAGGGGGCAACATAAGAAATGCGACAGTGGAGTTAAAATGGGTTTAATTGTTATAAAAGGTTCTAAAAACAAGTGCAAACAGATGGAGAGCATTATTAAAATAATGATCAGCCTGACACCGCCCCTCCTCCTCCTCCTCGTCCAGGCTGCAGAGAGCACAGCTGAGCTGGATCCTGCTGATGCCTTCAGCAGTCTAGGGGTTCTGCTGTCCTCCAGGCCTTACGCTTTGTTTTAAACCCCTTTTGTGTATTTTAGGAGATCCATGTGATCTTTTTTGGTTTATGTATTCTCTTAAAGGTTAACATCGCAGTTTACTGACTTTGGGATTTTAAAACACTCAGTGTTTTTGTAGTACGTCAGTTTTTATTATCAACTTGGAGATTTTTAAAAACTCCTTCTGTTTGGTAAAACTTTTAAGAAAAGTTTTAACCAGGGGTTTTAATGCTGATAATTCGACCTTTAAATGTTAACCTTTTAGTCTTGATTTTTTTATTTGGCATTATTTTAATAATGCTCTCCATCTGTTTGCACTTGTTTTTAGAACCTTTTATAACAATTAAACCCATTTTAACTCCACTGTCGCATTTCTTTTGTCGCCCCCTCCTTCACATTTTAACACCTCCTGTCGGGTACGTAACATTTAGTATTAACTTTATTTGTGAGACTAGATGGTGTTTAGTCCATATAGTTGAACTCTGCCTAACTAGACAAACAATGGCTTCTGCCCTTTCAGGTTCAAACAAAAAGCATTCCTCCTAGCTAAGTGATTTAAATCTGTCCTTCATGTGCCCAAGCAAGAGATGAAAGGCCATTCAGCTGCTCTAAAGGCTGTGCTCTATAGGCCTGTAATGGTGTGATGGAAGTGACTTTTGTTGCTTTGGGATGTGGAAAGGGCAAACCCCTACTTCCTCAGCAGCAGTTTTTTTTTAAATTCAAGCTCTCAGGGGCTTGATGGTGTAAGATTAGACTGTATCTTACCTACTGAGGGCTCATGGCAGTTATGTAACATCCTGAAGGGTTCCTTCAAAGATCTATTGTTAGAGGCAGCTCCGTAGGGCGTAACTCGCTTCAGAGCCTCCTGTCAGATGTTATCAGTGCATGGAAGGGACAGCTGCTAGGTTCCTGTTTAAAGCAAGTCAGTAACAGTAAACGTGACAGGAGAACACATGTAAACATCTGTATTGTTACAGTAATCAGAGCAAACTCAGATCTTTGTTTGGCAGCATGTTGGTCTTTCTGTAGGAAACAAGCACTAAAGCCTACTTTGTGCTAAAGGGAAGGTTATAGTTATGTTCAAAGACAGTTTCACTGAGGCAGAGCGTGAGTTCAACAGGAAGGGCGTGGATGGTGTTACACAAATATTTGTGTGAAGAGATGAGCAGACTGAATAAAAGTTAAAATATGTCAGATAAAATTTTACTAAAAGAGATTCAATAAGTTTGTTTAAAACTAGAATAAGATGAAGAGATGTTTCTGATCTTACATTAATAATTCAGACCTAATCAATCTACTTGAGCACTTCTTGCTGCATTAGGTGTGTGTGTGTGCGTGCGTGCGTGTGTTGCATAACATCAGCAGTTATTTCTCTAATGAGCCAGCTTTTATCACCTTAGATGCTCACGTACGCACGGGTGTAGCAACACCCCAATGACTAGGTGCTATGAAGGATTATTATGTAAACAAGGCGTTTTCTTGGCATGCTTCTTTGTGTGTTTGTGTGGCATTGGGACACACACACACACACACACACACACACACACACACTCTCGACTTTTTAGAGGACAAAGAACAAACGCAACATGACACACTTCCTCCTGTAGGATGAGAGCGATCTAACTGAGCTGTAGCCTTGATTACAATCTGCCCACCGAGAGTGGCGCCACTGTCCAGAACTGGGTGCATGTAATCCTTGTTGTGATTTTCATTCGGCTCGAGGGATCTTTGCTGTATGGCTCAGTCAGTTCTCAAAGTGGTCAGAGATTTGGATTTGTTTTCACTTAAAAGGCTCAGTGCTCTGCTGCTTCGCTGTTTGGACTCCAGCGTTCCTAGGGTTAGAAGGTGTTCGGAATAATTATACTGTCCCTTTCTCCTTTCTGACTCTGCAGCTCCCACGTCTCCCCTATATCCATCCTGCCTGCTGACTCTGCTGAGTAAGTCAACCCTTTGTGTACACACACACACACATGCGTACACACTAGTGTGTGCACTGCGGCTTTGCAAATGGACGATGCAGCACTGCAATTCTTAGAATTAAAGAAAAGGCTAAATAAACTGTGATCAGGCAGAAGCTAATCTGACAGATTATATTATGTCGCAGATGAAGCTGAAACTGGTGCGATGTTAAAACTTATGGTGAGTGTGTGGAAGTGAGTTAGCTGAATCAGAAGGGGATAAAAGACCTTCCACTTAGGAGACAATAACAGGAATCAAGGAGATCCTGCAGGCAACCCTGAGATGAGCCCATTTCAAAGAGAAACTGTGAGTTTAAGAATAAGGGATGAGAAAAAAGGAGAAAAGTTGGCCTTGTGTTTTGATTACAAAGCTAAACTTATGCTTTTTGCACGGTTTGTTGGTTTTGGAGCCTCAGGGACGTTAACTCAGCTATCACGTGACTGTCAGGCCCCAGCTTCTACTCTGCATGAGAAGGAAACACAGTGGAAATGGTTTTTGCTGCCGTGCATTAATGTAGGTTAACAATGAAGTTACAGTTGTTTATATAATTGGTTAAATTTACAAATATTTTTGAATACTATAAATCAAATGAGAAAACCCTGCATGGAGACATTTAGGTGGGTTTTAGCAGATCGGTGCTCTCTGAGCAGGGACCACTAACAGACGGCTAGAAGCCAGAGAAAGTGAAGCAGGTCAGAGTGTGACGGGGCTTGTTACCTTTAATAGGCCATAACAGCTCGACCGATTCCTCGGCTGGCGGGTCAGCATAAATCCTTCCTGAACCGGACCCGGTTATTGTCTTAATAAGGTCTTTGAGTGTAGCTTAGATTGGAATAAAGGCATTTATGAGTGAATCTGTCTTATTAGACGTAGCTTACGGCCATTTATAGTCCTGTACTCCACAATAAACATACTTTTGTTCTGTTTAGTCAGATCTGTTTAAAGATGGAGGTCAGAGTTTGTAAGGAGACTTTTGGTCCAAGAGGTGAAAGTTTAGCAGGACTGAGTACTGATATAAACCTCAGAATGTCATTTATCTGTAAACAAATACAGAAAATTAATTTTTATTTCAGTGCTTCAGTATCTATAGCTCTTCATTTAGAACAAGCTGTACATGTTCAGCAAAATTACAAGTATTTGAATAAATTTCAAAGATTTATTTTCCAGGTTTTGGAACAGCTGTTTATTTCAGTATCGTAGGATTTTGTTTCAGGTTTATCTCCTTAAGCCTGTCCCACACTTTGACTACTATTTAATTTTAAGTGACGTGATAAAGAGCTTTGCTACAGGGATGTTTGAATCATGAGATTTTTGTTTTCTTGTATTGAAAATCACGTGTGAACATAGACAACAAACAGTATCACGTCTAAAACCGTATCCCCACAGCGGGGTCCTGACCCCACTGTGGGTCTTAAAATGATCTCCAGTAATCGGAAGCGTAAAAACGATGGACATTAAAAGATGGGCGTGGTCTAAAACCAGCTGGCAAAGGTCTTAGCGGTTTTAATTTCATGAGGCCTAAGCTGAAAGGTTTGGAAATCACTGATCTAAGGAATTTTAAGTGTCATTAAATAGTTATAGTTCTATTTAGACACCTTCCCTGACAAGTCTTTAATAAAAGTATTCCATGATTATTAAAAGTAGACATCTTCTGTGCTCTAGTTGTAAACTAAACCTGCAAACAAGATGCTGATGATGTGTTTGTGTTTCTTCAGGATAATTCAGCGAACCATCAGGGCTGCAGTGGAGCAGCACTTTTACGAACTGAAAACCTCCATCAGCCAGGATCTCAGTAACTATGACAACCACAGGTAGGAGTGAAATGCCGATGTATGACTGTCTGAACCCTGCTGAGACAGACACGCACATACAGGAAACCTCATCATCTTCTACATCTTCACGCTCGTGCCGATAGCAGCGTGTAATGCCTATTTCACACTGTGCGATTTTCGACCGTCTTGGCCAAATCCGTCTTCGCGAGCAGAATAGTGACAAACTGTGAACTTGAGGGTGATTTGCATATGTGTGACCGGCTCTGTAGCGTTTTGATCTGCCTCACGACCAAAGGCAACCTCCAACAGTTTTCAAGCACTGCTTGAAAACCAATGACTCCTGTCTGCAATCCACCAATGAAAGCACATCTTTGGGACTCTGCTGCAGCAAGACTCCGCCTCTCTGAGCTTCGGTTTCAATGTATGTTTAAAATACTGATTATAAACTACACAACAGTTTTTATTGTTGTTAACTCTTTCACCGCCAGCCGTTTACTGATCAGAAAAGCCCTTCGCTGCCAGTGTTTTTCAGCGTTTTCACAGTTTTTTTACGAGTCATAGAACGTTGCGCGCTAAGATGATGTCAGCGCCAAAACAAAGAGTAAGCTCACCTTTTACATCAGGAAGAATCAGTGCGTTTCGAGCGTTATCCGTTCTTTCATAATCCGTTGTTGAATTGCGATCGGCAGAAGCTTTTCTGGTTTGTGCCTCACTTTTTTTACAGCAGCGGCCCAAAACGATCTTCTAACACATGGATTTTCTGCTTCCTGATCACATGACGTGTGATGTACGTGGATGAAGGTCGGCTTTAGAGCTGGGATGTTTGTTCTCGCGGTGCGGGGGCTCATTCTGATGCCCACACAGTAAAAAAAAATGCCAATGACGACTTTAGTCGTCATTAGCAGTGAATGAGTTAATAGCTCAAGTTAAACTGAAGTTATACTAAAAATAATTAAACTATGTTTTTAGACCATCAGCTGAATTGTGAAAATTGTGATTCTGTGATCTGTGAGAGCTGAGAGGAGATGAGCTCATGAACATAGAAATAACACGAGATCCCGCTGCTGTTGGTGGAACTCTCACATATTCAACCAGCAGCTTAAGGATGGTTCAGTAGCGTGTTGTGTTGCAGAGGGACAGTGGAGGCTCCGTGACAGCATGTGTGATGAGCTGTCGCAGAGCGGAGCTGTGGAGTGAACTGTGAGACAGACTTCACAGCAAAAGTTTAGATGCTAGAACGATCTGTGACAGATTGTTACTTCTCTGTAGTTTAGTGAGTTTTCTATGTTTAAAGGAGGATGAGAAGGATGAACGTCCAGCAGGACGATCAGCTGTTTAGCTGGAAGATGGGAAAATGACACTTGCAGCCGGAGTCTTGACGTCAAAGCGAGGGTTTTGAAAACAATCCTTCCTCTTTGAGGAAGAAGAGTTGGGTCATGAGCTGACACTAAAATTAAGTGTTATATTTTAAACTTTGTTTTGGTTAGCGGTCTGCTTAGTGACGTATGCTTTCAGGGAGAGCGCTCATGACGTAGCGTGTCCTGTTGGAGCGAAACGTCGTACAGTCTGCCTCGCAGAAATCTAGCGCCGTAGTGTGCCACCTTCTGGAGTTCTCACAGGCTCTGCTCTTACTCCGCCGCTGACAGAAACTCTGAGGGGCTTTTCACAAACTCATTTTCCAAAGAGAACATTGTGAACAACAACATAAAGACAACTGGAGGGATCAGATTATAATTAAACACGGTGAGAGAAATGATGGCAATTATTTTACATGCTGAGACGATGCTGGTCAGAATCACCGATTAGCTCTAAAACAAAAACACTTTGTTACTCTATCAGCCCAGTGGGTTATAGAGAGTACTTCAGTCCTTTCATGATTATTTTTTTTACATTTTCTGGGTTTCCTCATAGCGTGAGTCCATGTGAGCCCGAAGAACAGGGTTGCCATGGAGACGTGGAGCAACAAACCACACCTGAAGACAGCCCCTGCAACACAGGAGGAGAGACCCCGCCTAAACAGACTGAGCAGCACATAGAAAGTCAAACAGAGCTACAGGTTGGTAGCACACACACACACACACACACACAGTAATAAACTGATTCATGTTTGCACATCAAACACAGCAACCCAAAAAAGAACAGTATCATTATTTCTATTAAACACAAGCAACAACTGGGAATCCCCGTCACACTCAAACTGAAAGTATAATATCCGATGATGACAGACGCTCGCAGCACAGATTTCCCACCAAATCCTCCCAGAACACAGAGGGACCGGTTCCTGTGCGGGCCTGCAGCCCGTTTCACATCACTAACCTGTTCATTCCACGGCCGAGTGTCTGATACTATCGGAACAGCATGTCTTTGTTCTGCACCGTCTGCTGCAGGAGTTTCAGCAGAGAACAAAAGGCAGCTGTTGTTGTTGTTTTTTTTTTGTTTTTTTTTTTTTTTTTACAAATAGACACAAAAATAACTTTCTGGGAATTCTGGGTCATCCTTTTGTTCATTTTAGGTTAGGTTATTGGCCTCTGAAGGATTTGTTGTAAAATTGCTTTAGCCTACAGATTTTAATTTTATTGTTCAGTATTAATTAAACCATTAACCATCCAGCTGTCAGCAGGTAAGTGATTAACTACAGCTTCCCTCTCTGTAACTCAAACACATTTAATCATCATCCCACTGATTGGAGGGAGTCTTGTGTTAGCTGCCACCTCACACACACTTCCTGCTCCGACCAAAAGGTGGTGTTTAAAATACTAATCAGCCAAACCATAACAGAAACCTTCCAAAGCTAGCTTAGAAGTCTGACCGTGTTTGTTAACGCCTCCTTTGTGTGGACCTGCAGGCGTTGGTTTAGCTCCACTAATTAAGCTTTTATTTGAACAAGAACGTATCTGTGTCGTTTCTCATAAATAAGCCTTGTTGTTGTTTGCCGAAGCTGTTCTGAGCGTTACAATACCCACTAGTTCCCAACCAGAGCTGTTGAGGAAAATAAAAACATTCCCTGTCAGAGGAAGTGAAATCTAGTGATTGGTCTGGGATATACCCTTGTTCAGTTTCTGTTCTTGGCCTCTTGTTTCTTCATATCTTTCATTCTCTGATACTCATTCTTCATGTTGTGTTTCTGTCAGAACTTACCGGATCCTGTAGTCACCCTGGAGGAGAGCTCAGGAATGGACCTGGATGGTGAGGCCGCCACAGATGCTGAGAACAACCTAAACACTGCCAGGTGAGCCGATTGACTCTCCTGTTAGAATATCTGTGGGCACCTATTCACAAACAGTGACAACAGTATCTGTTTTCATCCAAAGAGGCTGTAATGTTGTGTTTACACATCATTCAGTGCGTCTACATACGCATCTGAGCCGAGCTACGGAAATATTCCAGATTAAACTGGGGGCCTTTATCCCAGTTTACATCTAAGTTACGAAACCAAACTCTCAAATGGAGTGTGCTCCGCTACGGTAGGTTTCGACATGCGCCCTTTTGTGTCAGGTTTCTTCTGGTTAGCCTAAAGCAACACAAACCGTAAGCAAACGCCGGTGGGAGTAAAAACAGGACATGCACAATGACGGAAGGAATGGGCAACGCTGCAGCACAGATTATTTGGTACGTCCTGTACTGTTTGACGGTGGACCCATGTTACTTTGTGGCGTTGATATTATTCCGTGTTCTCGTCACTCGTAGAAAGTAGTGAGTGTCCAACCTGTTGCAGCTGGACTGAACCGTTTACATGCAGAGGAAATCTGTCTCCAACCACATTTATCTGGGTAATTCAGCTCGATTAGAACCAGTTCAACTTCAGCAAGGCTAGTAATGCTCAGTGTACCCAGTTGATATGATATAAATGTAGGCATCGGTAGAGGTTTTGACTCTACCATCCAACTGTAAATACACATGAATGTTGTCGAGCTGCATCAGCTCTGGACGACTGTCGCAGCAGCTGCAGCTCTGTGGCTGACAACGTGCTCTTGAGGACGGGGTAATGTAGGTTAGACAGACCGGGTTTGGGTTTAAGAAGTCGGCTGTTGAACAGAAAAACATCCTCAGTAGAATATTCTGGGCAACTGTAAAGTTCTGTCTGCGCTAACAGCTCGTCAACGCTAATTCCCTAAGATCATCTTTGTTTTTTACCACATGATGAACACACGGGCTTCCACACGTCTTGAGCATCTCCTAGTTTGTACAGTCTTCTCTCCATAGTTCAGCTCTCTGTACTGACTGGGAAACACTGAGCCAGGCTAACGTGTTTATGTGAATTTAAAAAAGCCCAACTTCAGTCGAACTAAGCAATCATCTCAGCCTGAGCTCGTTTCACAGATCATCAGAAACACTTGTTCATTTAGTCTCTCACACACACACACACACACACACACACACACACACCACACACACAAACAACTTCATGTCGTTTTCTACGGTAGTACTATATCAGTTGTTAAGAATAGAAGTGGTCAGTAGAACATTCATGTTTGTTTTTCCACTCGTCCGGTGACTCTTCATCAGCTCATAGTCAGACCGTCCACCATCACACACTCAGGAGTAGTCTGGGCTGACTGGTGCTCACATGGAAACACTAAAGTACACACTAAAGTCCGACACAGAAAAGAACGCACATGACAGGTCTGTGTTTTTATTTCTCACAGGCAGGACAATCAGCTGCTTGATACGATGGAGCAGACCGTCACCATAAACTGTGTAAGTGGTTTGGACTAAATCGGTGTCCCACACTAAAGATGTGTTTTTATAAACAATGGGTTTGATGTTTAATATTGATAAAGAGCATTTAAGTCTACAAAAGTTTGTTAGTTTTACGTTACTGTTTCTGGTTCTTTACTAGTCTCTGCTGGGTTCACAAACTCTCCGTCTCTCCTCCTCCAGGACTCTGATTCATTCCACCGCGATCAGAACGCCAACACCAGCGAGACAAACAGGAACCATCTGTCACCATGCCAACCAAACTCTGGCCACAACCCCCACCCCCAACTTTTCCCTGACAACCAGTGGGAAGGTACGCAGCAGCCTGACTTGTGTTCAGCCGGCTTCACAACCCATTCAGCGTTAATGATAACTTCACGTTAATAATTAATGTTATTTCTGTCAGTTTGGTGCAGCAATTCAGACATTTTTTGAGTTTCATTTTGGTTTTTATTCATTTTGATGAACATTTAAATGAAAACAATCCTAAAACTAACTAGTCTCCTGTTCTGTTTTATTTTCCTACACATGAGCTAGTTTTCATTCTTGCTGTCCTGTGATTGGTGGAAAAACCGACCCTCATATGTGCAGTGGACTAAGTTTACAAACTCTTGTGACTTTTCTTTATTGTTGTGACCTTAAAGACTTTGACTGTGTGTTGCAGCCACATCTGTGCACACACACACGTAAGAAAGGTCTGCTGTGACTGATATTTTCTCTGTTCCATGTTTAGCCTGCAGGTCTGTTCATGAGTGTGAACTTTGTTAGTCTTTTTACTCTGAAGTCTTCGCTGGGTTTAACCTTTCTTCTTCCTGATGTAGAAAATCGTGATTCAGCATCAGCATCGTCGAGACCCAGTCACTTGTTTTATTTTAACACAAGAACCCAACAGTTTACTTTCAGATGTTCGTGTTTTCCTGAGCATTAGCATGAGCTATAACACCCCCCCCTCCTCCTATGACTAGATTATAATCTGTTACTGGTTAATCCGTCAACAGTAAGGTATTTTAAACCAAGCTGAACGATTAAACACCAACTAGTTACTGCGTTTAGGCCGTGACACGGACTCTATTAGAGGCTCAGCAGCTGATCAGTAAACATCTGAAGATAATTTCTGAACAAACTCTAAAGTTACCAACGACTGACCTCACTGCTCCTTCTCTTTACCATCTCTCTCCATGTCCCTCCTCATTCTTCTTCTCCTCCTCCTTCTCTTCTTCCTCCACTCATCCAAACAGCGTCACCCCCTTCCCATCTACACCTCCCCTCCATCGACTTCTCATGTATGCATCTGCAGAGAGAAGGCCAGGGTAAGTCGCCCCACCCACAGGTCTGCCCACACCTCCTCTCACCTGTCCTCAGAGACAAGTTCATGCTTCTTCTTCTTCTCTGGTGCTGATTTACTGTAGGAAGCGTTCCTGCATGTGAAGAAGTCAGATTTAATGCTGTAACTCTCACTCCTCATTAGTGCTGACCCTTCTTAAACAGGCTGTTAACATGGCATCAGCAGGTTGCAGACGAAGGAAAACAGTTAGATGCATTTTATAAAATCTCAACCTTTTCACCCTTTCACATTTGTGATGGACTAAAACTCCCTTTGATGTTTTCCCATCCGCTCTCAGATCCTGTTCCAGCTTTTAAATCCTGGCAGAACGACAGTGAGAGTGGAGAGGCCCAGCTCTCCCCGCTGGCGGGTCGAATGGTCCCTCTTCCCCTTCTGCCTCTGGAAGACGACAATGAGGAAGACATCGGGGACAGAGAGCACGATGATTCTCCTTCCTCATCGCGCACCCACCCCCACATCCTGGCACGCCGCTTTCTAGACTTTGGAGCTCACAGCACCCAGCGCTTCCTCCAGCAGGACCCAGACACCATCTCGCCCACTAAAGCACAGAGGTGAGTCGCACACATCACAGATCCTGCTGTTTCTCTCCACTCCAGCTGATTCATAACGTGCGTGTGCATCCTCAGGCCGAGGCGAGCCTCTTTTGGCTCCAGAGAGACCATGAGGGGCGACTCCGTCACCCACCAGCTTACCAAGAAGCTCCAGCATCTGAAGAAGAAAATCAAACAGTTTGAGGAGCAGTTTGAGAACGAGAAGAACTATAAGGTACAAAGACCACTTCGTTCAGCTGAGGAGATGGAGCGAGCTGCTGCTCTGAAATGTTAGTTATTCAATAATAAACGGCGGTAAAGAGCAACTTGATTTAGAAAAGACAAATGATCTTTGATCACTTCTAGAGTGCTGTTGACATTAAAAGTGGCCGTAAGCCTAGTAAACGTCCAGAGTGACTTTTAATAGGGTTCCTGAAGGCAGACCCGGTCCTGATGATGTCATATTTAATTTTCTAGCAACAAGATGACCTGGTTGTTGCTGTAAATGATGTGACTATTGTTGTCTTGACCTTTTATCCTGTGAATGACCGACCCGTGCTCTGCTCTGTGGTTCTTCTGTGCAGCCCTCTCATGCAGACAAGGCAGCTAACCCCAAAGTCCTCAAGTGGATGACCGACCTGACCAAGATCCGCAGACAGATCAAAGGTACGCCTCCTCCTCCTCCTGCCTGTGAATGTGCATTGGTGTTTGAAGGGGGGTCGGAGAGTGGGCCATCCTGTGGCTTAACCAACAGTTTGGCCCATTTCTCTATCCTAACGTTTGACCTTTTACAACATGACATGTATGCTGGTCTAACAAAGGGAAAGCAGACATGCACATGTTCAGAGTTGACGTGGCCCCCACCCTTCTGTGTGCTGGTGCGTCCTTGTGAACCCACATCCAGACCTGCAGGGTGACCTCAGTAAGGTGAAACGTGGGCCTTTAAAACCACCAACGGTGATAAAAGCTGAAATAAAAATCTAGATAATTAGTGATGGTTTCTCCGTACTGAATCACCCGCAGCAGGCTCGTCCACCTCCCATTATGAGGAGGTGACTGCTCTCCTTTTTGGAGGATGCAGTGGCTGAGACATGTCTCTGTTTCAAATCAAAAGTGAAAAAGCAATAACACGAGCACCCGCTCTCCACTTTCCTTCCTCTGTTGCCCAACGACTGATTGATTGATTGGCCCAACCAGGACGCCAGCACCACCTTTTACCCAGAAGCACGCTGAGGCACCAGGCTTTGCTCCATTCATACAGACGCCACCCTGCTCCCTCCTCCCCTTCCTCTTCCTCCTCTATTTGCTCACCTCCCCATCACACTCCCACCCCCTCCTCAGGCCTGAGCTCTAGACCGTTTCACCTCAGTAAGTACAAACCCCCCTCTTAAGTAGACATTACAAACACTACTAACAGTCACGGTCAGGGGGCGCTGTTCTGGTGTACTTGCAGTGTGACAGCATGTCAGCATGAAATTTGAAGGGCTTCATTTGTTTGTTTGTTTGTGTGTGTGTGTGTGTGTGTGTGTGTGTGTGTGTGTGTGTGTGTGTGTGTGTGTGTGTGTGTGTGTGTGTGTGTGTGTGTGTGTGTGTGTGTGTGTGTGTGTTTAATCTGCAAATTCAAACTGTTTTTCATAGAAACTTGTGACCCAGTTGGGTGTGAACTCAACTGGTTGAACTGGAAATGCTGTGACCTTTAACATCCTGCTCGTTTTGGTGATTTAGGTATTCTCTAGTCACCGTATTGCTCCAGAGTATTTCAGTATTAAGCTGGTCAGGAGAAGATTGTGTTCTGTGTTGTGTTGCACTTCTTTTCAGGTTGTGTTATTTCTCCTCATCTTCTTCATGGCAGCTGTAAAATAAGTGATGTCACTCTGTTTTATTCTCATCTCCATTCTTCACACTGCATTATTTTATTACTTTCATCTTTCTCTTTTCCACTCAGACGCCAAACACTGTGCTGAGAGTGAGCTCGGCCCACAGACCCGCCCTCGTAGCAACACTCTGCCCAAGAGCTTTGGATCCACCCTGGATCAGGATTTCCATGATGCAGCAGCAGAGGTCAAAGGCCCCTGTCCCACCAGGGAGGAGACACTGGAGCTAATTCAGCGGAGAGTCGAAAAGAAGAGGCAGGAGGACGGCTGGCCTGACGACATCAAGGTGAGAAGCGGATCAGTAAAGACTGGATGCACTTTAAAGTTCAAGATCAAGTATAAACGCATTATGTACAAATACATTATGATTACATGACCTAAAAAACTTACTGCTCACAATTTAAAGCAACACTAAATAGGTTTCCCACTTCTCCCTCCTACTAGTTGAAAGCAGAATTACAACTGTTTACAACCCTGCAGCAGCCAGCTGTAGCTTGCGCTAACATCAAGCTAATGCTAGCATGAACCAACTGATACTAAAATAAACCACGAAGTAAAAAGATCCACAGTGTTGGACAAAAATATTATAAGTCCAGTAGCAACAAAGCCAGGTCATCATCAGTCTGTGATTTTGTAGCCTCCTTTAGCTTCCTCTAGCTAGTGTAGGTCGCACCAGTTCTCACTCGGGTTTTAGCTATTTGCTTCACCTCCAAAGACATTACTCTCTTATTTTACTTCATAGCTGTGCCAACAAAAAATTTCTTCTACTTTAGAAGTGCGTCTTCGTCCACCTGCAGCTGCAGCAGCTGGGATCAGAAACGGGGATCCGTGCTGCAGTCCGAGCATTTAATCCGTGTTTTTCCAGTAGCACACGTTTGCTGTAAGATTTGTCTAATAATCAGATATTTATTTTACTTCCACAAAATGTTAATTTCAGATCAGATGTTACCAGGGTCCGAAATTAACACTCGCCACTCGCCAAATGCGAGTAAATTGCTCCAATTGGCGAGTAAATTTTTGAGCTCTACCTGCCACTTGGCGAGTAAATGTTTGCACCAAATTAGTTATGTTTATCGGTCATCTTCCACGGATTTCTGATACTCCTCCCGCCTGCATGCAGCGTACACAAACGTACGCGAAACGTGAACGCCACATCCAACGTCATTTCCACCTATCTCATTCAATCAGTTTATCAAGTTAGCCGTTAGCTTCGTGTTAAAACTAGCGGTGAAATGTGGCGGTTTTTAACTGGAGTCAGCCAGCCTTCCAAAAGAAAACTCGTCGAACTGGAAGAAAAGCCACCAGGACCAGTGGCAACCAGAAGATTTTGTGAAAAGTGGCGAACCGGAGACGGCGGAGTCGTGAGACAATGGCTACATTATGATGGCCACGTAGCGTTGCTGCCTTTCACAGACAACGGTCCCTTGGCATTCTTCAAATATCCAAAAAAAATGCCCGTACTTCCGACTTTGTCTTCTTTGAGGGATAATAAATGTCCCAAGTGCTGCCGTCTCCTGCTGCCATTATTTCAGCTTTAGCTTAAAGAAAGTTTTGGTTGTAAACAACAAAGTGCGCATGTGCCGCCGGCAACTTCCAACAGATGATACGGTGGCTGGTAAGGGTCACCGCGCCTACACCGCAGCCACGGTAATCCACCGAGATATATTTTTTAAACAAGACGGTTATTATTGTCAACTTTTTTACCGGGGTTTACCGCTACACCGGTTACCATGACAACCCTAGCCCTGACACACTTTCAGATATTCTCATGGTGCAGCTGTGTTCTCCAGAGATCAAGGACTATGATCCAAATGAGGCACAAAGACGGTGTCAGAAGCAGGAGGCCAGACTTCATGGACAGAGAAAACAAGGAGTCTGACTAGATTTCAATGAAAGAGTTCATAAAAACATCTCTAAAAATAAATAAATAGTAAAAATGACAAAAGAGTTGTTTTCCTTATTAATTGATGTTTTAATTATTTTGTCACTCTGTTTGGAATCAACATAATATAGAATAACATGCTTTAGGTAGATCTAAATCATTTAGAATTTTGGCCGGTAAAAATATGCTTGGCCGGTAGATTTTCATCATCTACCGGCCAACTTGGCCGGTGAGTAAAAAATTTAATTTCGGACCCTGGATGTTACCAAAAAATGGGGAAGGCTTGCCACCAGATTTAAAATCCATTCTTCGTTAATTAGAAGTCTAGCAGGATGGCTCACTGGCTGCTTCCAGCGACTTTCAGTTGCGTAGCGAGCTACCGGTAGCGAGCTACCGGTAGCTCGCCAGCGATGTGTTTGAGGGCCCTGGCTTAAAGTGTTAAAAACTTTAGTGTTAAAGAGATTGAAGTCCCGTCAGTTGTCACACACACACTAGTGTGAGGTGAAATGTGTCCTCTGGATTTGACCCATCACCATGGGGAGTGGTAAGCTGCAGCAGTGGCTGCGCTTCAGAACCGTTTGGTGGTTTAACCCCCCAATCCAACCCCTGAGGGGCAAGCTGTGAGGCATTGAGTCCCGTTTTTTAAAGTCTTTGGTATGACCCGGGATTTGAACCCCGATCTCCCAGTCCCAGGGCGGACCACTAGAGCACTGAGCTGCCTTAAGTCCTGGGATTATAAAAGATCATCATTCAGAGGTTTAGTGTTTTTGTTTTAGATGGAACAGCTCACAAAGACCCGAGTGTTTACTGTCTCTGCTTTTGTAGAAGATGACCAAAGAGCAGTTGTCCTGTGAGAAAACGGTCCTCCAGAAGAACCTGCTGCACTACGAAGGCCTGCATGGTCGACCAGTGAGTCCACTAGTGTCTCAGGAGCTCAGTGTGTCCAACAAGCTGCCTGATTGGATGGTTCTAACCTCCTGTGTCTGCTCAGGTGACCCAGGAGGAGCGTCTGGTGGTGAAGCCTCTCTACGACCGCTACAGACTGGTCAAGCAGATGCTCACCAGAGTCAGCATCACACCCATCACTGTGAGAAACACACACACACACACACACACACACACACACACACACACACACACACACACACACACACACACACACACACACACACAGGCTCTGGTTTGTCAATTAAGACAGACAACAAGACAGTGTAAATGTCTCTCCGCCCAGGTGTCTCCCTCTAGTAAGAGGCGGAGCCAAACCCTTCAGCCGATCATCGAGGGGGAGACCGCTCATTTCTGGGAGGAGATCAAAGAAGAGGAGGAAGAGGATCAGAAAGGTGGAGAAGAATATGAAAAGGAGGAGGAGAGAGATGAGGAGGAAGAAGAGGAGGAGGAGGAAGAGGCAGAGAGCAGCGGTGGTGAAATGCAAAGCTCTGAGGTCATCATGGCCTTTGATGGCATGACCCCGACTGGCAGCTCTGTGAGGAACCAGCTTGATGAGCAGAGCAACTGTCCAATGAGAGACAAGGTGGAGGAGGGGTCAGGGAGGCTGGCACAGGACGTCCGGCTGTCCAGCTCCAATGCCTCGTCCATGTAAGACATTAACAGGACTTTATCATGAGAATAATAGAAAGATAGCAGCATGTGTAACTACATATCCCATCATCCTCTAGGCCAGAGCTGCTGGAACAGCTTTGGAAGGTCAGATCGGAGAAGAAGAACCTGAGGAAGACCATCCGAGAGTTCGAGGAGAATTTCTATCAGCATAACGGGAGGTAGGTGCTGGGATGGTCCAGTCAGAGAACAACCAGTCTACATGTGATTACCGCCAGTGAGGGTGTAGAACACACTCCTCACACACTCCTCACACACTCCTCACACACCATGCTTGGACCACCTGACGGCAGAGAGATCACAGCTTACTGTCTTTATAGAAAGATCTCAGTTAGCATCTCATTCACCTCAAACTTACAACCAAGTAGAGCTCACTTCAGACTGTTTTGCGATAACTTTTCTAAATAACTAGATGGCTCCAGATTTTTCTACTGAAGCTGCATAAATAAAGGTGGTTTGATGAGCAGCACACAAAAGTTTCAGGACACACACACGTCTGAGTTTCATACCATCAGGAGACATATTTCTTCAACAAGTAGAATGGGTAGTAGGGATGGTGGCGTCTCTGAAAGACTGTAGGTCAGACTACTGAAGCTAAAGGTGAGTCTTCCCCTGTTTCCTTCATTAGCGTCTGATAGAAAACACTCTGATCAGAACAAGCCACGCAGATTTATGTCAACAAACTACATTCATGGACTCATCCCTCTTGGCTCGTGACGGGGAAGGCTGTTGTTGTTTTAGCGTCCAGGAAACAACAGAGAACATCTCGGCTAGTAGAAGCTAACGTTAGCGTTAGCAACTCCACCACACAGCAGAACTCCTTCAGGCTTGTGTTATTTGTGGCGATAAAACATCAACGTTGCAGAGCTAACAGATAAGTAACAAGTAAGACTCCAAATATGGCAGTCCCTCCCCCCACTCTTCTAGCCAGAGCAGAGAACACAGAAAACAAACAACTCAGACATTTATTTATACTAGAGACCACGGCAGGTTTATTAAAAATATGAGTGAATGTTTGCAGGATTCTCACACCTTGGTCCTGATGCTTGACTGGGTTTAATAATTAGGCTAAATTCATCTGCAGAGCTCTGATACAGGACCCAGTCTAATACCTGTAAATAATAAACAAACATTGTTGCTCTCCTGCAGGAACGTTCAGAAGGAGGACCGGGTGCCGATGTTGGAGGTCTACAGGGAGTACAAGAGGATCAAGGCCAAGCTGCGCCTCCTGGAAGTTCTCATCAGCAAGCAAGATTCCTCCAAATCCATCTAGTCCTTCTCACATAACCGCTAGAATCGCACATATCATCAGCCGTCATCGCACCTGGCATGAGAAACATAAAAAACCTCCATCCAGCAGTGGCACACAGACCCCCCCACCCGTTGTTTACTGTCGTCACGACATGTGGAAAGACTTCAGACGCTCCTGAGATGGAAACTAGACATTCTTTAGCTCAAATATCTAAACTGGATAAAGAAGTAACCCACTAAAAATCAGAAATTCGTGATTTTATTATGACATTACAGGATTTTTAAGACATCTCTGTTGTTTTTGTCTCATGGCGTGACAGCAGACCCTCGTCTGACTCTGTGTGTAACAGTAGCAACAGTTCGTCATCACCAAGGAAACCAATCGTCTCTGTGTCGTCATCTTTGTCATCAAGACTTTTGTGCTCACCTCACATTTCCATACACCTTTTTTTTTTTGTTCTTTTACTGGAAGATAAAAACGTTTCTTTTAGGACTCTGATGAAACAGCTGAAGGACTGATATTGTACATCACAACATTTTTGTTTTGATTTAAATATTTCACATAGTAAAAAGTCCTGCTTTACTTTAGCTTGCTTCAGTCTAATTTAGCTCTGTCACTTGGTGGATGTGAGTGGATTGAATGTCCAAACCCAAGTGTTGATGGAAACGTCACCGTCTTGGACTGAGACTGTAACTGTTCACATGTTGTCCTCTGTTTGGATTTGAACACGCCGTGGGATTATCAGTTTCCCTCTGTAGAATAACTGAGTTTCATTTCTCTGAGCGTCCAGCAAAGGACAAAAGTCAAGACGAGTGGTTTTGACAGCACTTAGAGCTGAAGACGCTCACAGGAAACATCCCTCTGTTACAAGCATCTTTCTATTTGCTTCACCTTTGAGTCCAAAAACACCTTTTGGGTTCAGACGAGTTCTGGTGTTACTGATTGTATCTTTGTGACGTAAACTCTGCCAGCACTGATTTTAACAACACATTTGTTTACCTCGCGTGTTCATTCTGCAGTAATGTTTGATTTCCTGCCAGCAGGTGAGAGGAGGGCAGATGAGGTGAAAACCTGAATCCAGGTCCAGGTCCTCCAAAAAGCTTCTCTTTCCTCTTAGAAGTGGTTTTTTTTTTTTGTTTGTTTGTTTTTTTAAACTTTGAGGGATTTTAAGAAAAGGAAATCAGCTGATTGCTTTATTTTTGTTGTCAGTTACCTGCAGTCTTTAGTGGGCGGGGCGATGTGATGATGATGATGATGATGATGATGATGATGATGATGATAGAAGCTCTGAATGAGGCTAAAAGTTCAAACTGTTTGTAGGGGGGGTGCTTGTCAGATTTGAGGTTTGATGTAAAATATGTTATTTGCACAGCATTCACAGAATGCAGCCCTTCGGTTTTTTTTTTCCATTTGTATTTCTAAAAATGAAGCACTACTTCCATACAAATATAAATATCCTGTATATAAAAGCAAAACCAGAAAAAAGAAGAATGTCAGACATGTTTAAATTATTTGAAACATCACGTTTGGTTTCGTACACTTGTGATACCCTGAGAATGTGTTTTTTATTATTATCATTATAAATATTGCTAAGTGTATTCTTTTGTGTGCTAACGAACCTTTTGTATGTACCTTGTGAGTGTGAAACCAGCTGTAGATGTCACGTAGTCGCCCCTGAACCTCTCTGTTCTTAAACATGTTGTGGCTCTGTGTAACATAAGCTAACCTAGAAGCAGTACTGTAGTGAGCTTGCATGGCAGCAGAGAACATAATCGTATGGAAAACACGTTTTCATTATTTGTGCCATGACAAATCAGCAATAATAAAAGTTTGCATCCATTGTTTTAACACATTTCAGGTCTGTTGTTGCCATGACTGGTGGGATTTTGTTATGATGTTTTGGATTTTGTTTTGTTTTTTTACCACTGGCCTCTGCTGAAAACCAAAACGTTAGAACGAAGGTCATGGAGGGTTAAAAATCTAGACACCGATGTCTGGACAACATTCCAGGTTTTATCCTCGCTCTGAACGTGGAACCGACCCCTTCATCTCTGCTTGGGGTAGAACAGATCTGTGAGGTTTGGGTTGTTTTGTGCCGAGCCTGAAGCAGAGAGGTGACAATCTCATGCAGACGTCCTCTCGTCTCCGTCCGAGTTCCCCGTTTCCCACACTCACCCGTCCGAGGAGCAGACCGGGGAGTCGAAGCAGGAGTCGTTCCGTCAAAGGTGTCGTCTGGAAGTAAAAAGGTCCTGGAAAATAGAAAATTACGGGTCCCTTTATTAACGTTACTTATTAAGCATTAATAATGTATGTAATGCATTACTAAGCAGACACCACCAGCCCCGGCTCTTTGTTCTAACTACTTAATAGTTTATCGGTAACGTTGATGAAGGGACCCTTTGTTTATTATTGCTCAATAATGCTCTAAGCTACATTAATAAAAGGACCATGGTTGTAAAGTGTTACCTAAATTTTTTTTATTAAGTTTGACAAAAATTGAAATCTGCTGCTTTATACATTTAATGACCGATAATAAAAACAAATTTTCTCTTTCGATAAACAGCAGTAAAAAGTCACATGATGACTTAATTAAATTAACTTTCCAACATCTTTGGAACCAGATTTTTGCTTTAGTTCCTCCTCGGGTTGTTCCTCTCTCACACACACACCAGTATTGTATGTACCTACACATGTTTTACTTTACTTTGTGACTGCGCTTTCTGTTGTTCCTTCCTTCATATACGGAAAAAAGAAATGATACAACCAATAAACATTTACACAAGAAGTAATGAATTCTGCTTTTTGAGTCAAAACTCTGTTCTGCCCACCTGGGCAGGTAAATATGGAGAACTGATCCTGACAAAACTAACAATAAAAACAGAAATAAATTACCTGATAAAGCTGTTGGTCCGATTCCCACTCGCAGTCAGAAGGGAAAGAAATTGTAAGCAAAAAAAGAGAAGGGGGAGAAAACACAAATGTAAAAAAACAATATAGAGTTAACAAATGTACATTTAAAAATGTATTAAATTACAAACAGAACATGGAATTCAAAAGTTAAAAATGACACTAATAAATCAATGAAATGGAAAATAAACAATAATTTTACTGTTGAAAATGATATACAAATATTCTGTTTTGTCACACCATAATATTTCAAATGCAATCTTTTTCACAATAATCACCATCAGAATATTTCTTTCCATATTTGTCAGGATCAGTCCTCCATAGATGAGTTTCCCTGTAAAGTAACCTAAACTCAGACACAAACTAATAAACACAAGTTAGTTATTAAACACAGGTGCTAAGTGCTTCTGTCATTTCAGAAAAAAAATATTTAGGTTAACAGTGGTTTTATAGAAAGAAAATATGAGATGCTGCTTTGAAGACTAGAAATACATTTCTAATTTAAAAAAACACTTTTGGATCTTAATTTTTCTTCAAATGATCAAAAAGACATCAGCTGGTAATCAGGCTAATTAGGCCTGAGGAAGACCCCACCCACTAGCATGCAGAAGGTCGGGATTTATATTCATAACAGAATACTGTCTCATTAAAAGTCCAAATTTAAAGAGAAACTTAAAGAATGTTGATTTTACTGGTGCTGATTTAATGTTTCAAAATCTCTAATCAACAGCAAAACGATCTATTTTTACCCTTCCACTTTCCTATCAGGTGACCCCGCCAGGCCAGGGGGTTACTAAAGAGGGTTTAAAGTTTATGCGTTAGCGGGGGTGAAGTGATGCACCCCTTAAAAAATATGAAAATAAAAATACATCAGAGGTCCATGTGATCCCATTAACAATGCGGGAGGGTTAAAGGGGAACTAGGCAGTTTTGACTTGCTTTAAGCACCCCCTAGTGTTCGTTTGTAGTACCAAAACATCTCCTCGGTGTGGGTTCCTCTTACCTTAATCTTATAGGGGGTTTACATCTGGTACCACTCAGTCCGAAGTGTCTCCCCAGCCTTCCTTAATGTCTACAGAAGTGATAAATCAATAAATTATACAAATCAGCTGTGTTCATGGTCTAAAATAAGCAGGAAAGATGCTGGAACCAGACTGCAGCGCCAGGTATGTCAGCTCCATTTTTAAAGTCCAACAGAGTGGCCCGCCAGTCTGAAGTTGCAAGTGGAATATGAAAAAGTTGCAACGTGGCCTTTTGAGGGAAATAAACTGAAATTTAAGTGTGAAATGTTACATAAAGTAAATGTGTTCGAGTCACTTGGGTTTAACAGAAAGCTCAATTACATATCTATATCTATCTATCTATACATCTAATATATATATATATATATATATATATATATATAGTCTTCAACAATAATTTGTTTTCAGTGTAAATGCCGTTTAAACCACACGATCTCAGCAACATGAACAAAGACAGCAAAGGTTTGATCAGAATATCCACAGTTTATATTTAAAAATAGAGCAACTCAATAGAGAAACTTTACAATCACATGATTAACTTCAGTAGTGGAAACCGTTCCATCCCAAGCCGACTATAAACATCATTTAAACACGTCTTTTAACATCCAACTGCATTGAGTTTAGTAGTAATTCAGTCTGAATATTTGGGCAAATGAAACTCGCATGTACAAAAAAAATATCAGAACATGTGCTTCTTACTGCAGGAACAGAAAATTACTGTCCAATAAAGAATGTTACATTTGGCTTTAAATATACTAAAACTAGACTGTTCTGAATCCATGGCACATCTGATCTATTCCATGAATAAAATAAACCCGACTGTCTAAACGGATGCGAGGCGATGACAGGAAAAGGCAGAGAAATTGGAATCTCGCCAAATATGAATAAACTCGTCCAAACAATAAATAAAGCCTAAAACCTGCAGAGTTTTTACAGTGCATTTTTGACACACACACACACACACACACACACAAAGTCTCCGTCCCTCAGAGCAAAAGATATCCCCAGCGTTGCTCTGCCTCTGGCCACTGCAGCGGACACGTTTCTTCTTTGACAGTTTCTGACGCCTGACAGCCGCTCAGAGATTCAGCTTGGTCAGAAAGACGCCGTCAGCCAATCAGACGGCCCCGACAGGTCAGTGCAAAAAGGTCAGAGCATTAGTAGTGTTTCACCAAACAGCTGATCTGATTAGAAACTTATGTCATTTAGATTTTCTTTCTTCAAAAAAACATTAAATATGAAACTTATTTGCATATAATGAGTTTTCTATCATCTTTATACCATCTTGCAGGTCTCTGGGTTCTTGCCTTGGAGTAGAGAACTAATACTGATGAAGCAAACATAACACCACAACCACTCCGGTTCAGTTCAGTCGGAGCAAATCGAACCCTCCCAGAACCTGGCTGAGCCACAGCAACCACAAGTTTAGGAAGATGCTCCTGATGGAGTAAAGGCTGGCACGGCAGCGTGAGGGTTGGAGCAGCAGAGTCCTCTCAGCCGCCTGCAGCCGGTCGTCCTCAAGCAGCTGGGGGTTTTGTGCCATCGCGTTTTAGTGTTCAGGAATCCATGTTTGGTCCGTTTACTTATTTCCTGGCCGACGTAAACATCACAACAGCTGATACAGCTGCTAGTCACGTGGCGAGATGTTCTTCTGAACCCAACGGTGTTCCTGAAATCCCAGAAGGTCCGTGGAGCCTCGTCGTTCTGGGCAGCTTCTAGCTCAGTTGTTTCAGATGTGGCTTTGACTTTCTGTCAAACTGACAGGTGAAGATCCGAGTGTTGGAAGGTCCTGGGTCATAACGGCTTGTCGATCACTGCTACTCCTGTAGCGGAGGAGAAAAAGGAGCAGAAAACAAGATATTAGCTCATTTAATTGTTCCGGTTACCCCAGCTTTCCACTGGACACGCAAGTCGCTCTGACAAACTTAGGTTTCAAGTCTTTTTATTTGCTACGTTTCCAGAACGTATCAAGCTCAGCAGTTCAGATCGGGCCTCCAGACAGGAAGTCAAACACGAGAGCAGTGTAAATCATCCAGAAACTTTGAAAACAAAACCTTGTGCTGATTTCCTGTTGATTAACTGGTAAAATAAAAGTACATCATTACCTCGAAACCTCTGTGAGAAAAGTAAAATGAACAGGAAGTAAACCACCGTCCGTTTGGATACATGCCACTGTCCTTGCACATTATCACGTGAAGTGCCGAAATCACGCGTGATTTTCCAATTCTCCGGTGAATATGAGAGCTCATGGGACCCGATGCGCAGAACGCTTCAGCTGTCGTTGTGTGTCTGAAACGCTCCCAGTGGGAAGCTCTCTGGGAAAACGCGTCTATTACGTTACTGAGGCGGGGTTGATGTGAGAGCTGAAGGAACAGGGACCCGCCTGCGTAGCTGCGTCCGTTGCTCATGTTGGTGGGAATCAGGCTCCACTTGTCAGTGACCGGGTTGTAAAACTCTACAGAGGAGAGGTTACAGGACCCATCGTCTCCTCCGACCACATACAGCAGACCATTAATGGCACACACACCTGCAGGATTAAAACACTCTGCTGAAAACACACACGGATAAACCGAAAACTGTCATTTTATTTTTTGGGATCTTCCAGATTACACACACTTATGTAAATATGGATCAGATGCCTGACCTGCGTTCCTTCGACACATGTTCATGTCTGACACCAGTCTCCACGTGTTGGTCTGGGGGTCGTACACCTCTACGCTCTTCCTCACCAGGGGACCATCATGTCCTCCTGCTGCATACAGCAGACCACCCAGAACACCCACACCTGCACACCAACCAATAAAATGCTGTTGCTTCTTTACAGATCTATCATTTCTTCATTTTGGCCACAATCATCTCAAATCACCTCAACCTTAGAATATTCGGCCTTAAACACAAAATGTTTCATATTTTAGTCAGAAAATCATTAATAATGTGAATTATTTTTGCACCTTTTTAATCTGTTGAATTTAAACATAAATGTAAGCAGGAAAACAGAACACCTCTGTGTAGAGCCCTGCACTGAAGCCCTAGGCCCTCGGGTCGGCCCGGCCCGACGGCCCTCGGGCCGGGCTTCGGGCCAACGACTGTGTAATTACCTCGGACACGGGCCGGGCCGGGCGCCTTTATTTTTATTCGAAATCATTAAAAAAATTAAAACACTTAAACGCAGCAGTAGAGCCCTGTGCGGGACTGTTTTCTTCATCCCGCTCCGCTCCCGCTGAATTTCTGACCATTACAGCCTGCAACCGCAACGTGTGTGTTACACTCCCGCCCGCACCTGCAGCGTGCAGGTCTACTCCCGCCCGCACCTGCAGCGTGTCTACTCCCGCCCGCACCTGCAGCGTGCATGTCTACTCCCGCCCGCAACCGCAAAACTCGGAGAAATTATTACCTCACAATAAAAGAGATGTATTGAGTTTGCGTCCTCAACATGTCATTTTATAGGTTATCCGCTTTCACAGCAGTGCTGCGCTCCGTTTCAATCAGGCTGTACAGCAGGATTTCCCCTCGTAGCGATATTTTCTCTAACTCTGATTGCTTCATGCTATAGAACGTTGGAAAGCTGCTTTTATGTACTTTTAGGAACCGTTGGAATTATTTGAATCTGATCAACCATTCAAAAGTTATAAAACGGAGCATTTTGGATGACAAACTCGCACGTCTCTGAATCTGTGTTGTGATTCGTTGCGCTCAAGACAGGAAATCCCGGTGGATACTGTAATGTATTGTATATGCACGGAAAGCCCCATTTTTAATCTTTTCAGCACTTTTGGAATTTTAATGATATCTTGAACTAGAGCAGGGATCGGCAACCCGCGGCTCTTCCATCCATCTGCCGATGTGCTTGTAAAATAATGAATGGGTATTTAAATAAAATGCTTTATATTTTACTGAATTAATTTTATATCTGTAAGTCAATTCTATGTGAAGATTGTCTGCGTAAACCTGAACAGTTCCAACCCAGTCTTACTGGGAGACCGGGTTGGGTCACGCTTGTGCGTAATCATATGCGCTCATGAGCTGAAGAGGATGTGAGATTCTGGGATTCTCCTCAGACGGCTCCTGGATGTGTCGCACATTGGAGACAGGAACAAGCACTATTCAGCCAAAGTTTCATAATCAGGGAACATTTTCTAAGTGACAAGTCTCTCTGAGAGACCGGGTTTGGAAAACACTCGCTTCAGTGGGAAGCTTCCCGCATGCGCTTCTGCGACGCTCGGATCCTGCACATCTTTTAACACATTGGTCAGGATTGACGCACTTTGTTTTCATTTAGTTGGTTAAAAAAAGTCGGGCTTGGGCTCGGGCCGGGCCAGAGAATCCTGAAAACCTTTTCGGGCCGGGTCGGGCTGGGGCTCCACCCCCTCGGGCCGGGCCGGACACGGGCTCAGATTTTAGGCCCGTGCAGGGCTCTACCTCTGTGTGTTTGAAACTGCTCAGACTGGATAAACTGTGGTGCTAATACATGGGCTGGCCCTTAGAGGGCGCTGTTGTTTCATAGGAAATATCTAAACACTAAATGCTGCATTCAGACCAGTTTAAAACCAACACTGGTTAGTGTTTGTACCTGCGCCACTCCTCCGTGTGCTCATGTCAGCCACGTACGACCACTGGTCAGAGACGGGGTCGTACTCCTCCACGGTGCTGAGACACTGGCGAGAAGCGCCGTCATAACCCCCCACGGCATACAACTTCCCTGCAGACAGGGACAGATACAGGAGTTTTAAGATAAACTGATGTTATAATTCAGGTTTTGCTCGCGTTGCACTCTTACCGTCCACCACCCCGACCCCCACGCTGCTGCGCCTGGTGTTCATGGAGGCTACATACAGCCACTCGTTGGTTTTATAGTTGTAAACCTCAACAGTAGATAAACCTGAAGCAAAGCAGACAGATGGGAAAAAAACAGCTTTTTCAGCTCGTTTGTGTTGAATAGGGGCGTTCCGGTACAAGAATTTGGATTCTTTGGTACGGAATGTGCGGTTTGGTACCGAGGTCCCACACGGACGTGTAACAGTGTTGCAGACATTAGCTGTTAGCCACCAACACAAGCAGCTGTGTCCAAATTCAGGGGCTGCTGTCGGTATCTGACCTCCATTGACCAGGGAGACCGGATGTGAACAGCTGTTAAATCAAGACGGTCTCATTTTGCATATGTCACGTCGCCTAGCAACCGCAACGACACTAAACAGCCAAATGAATATTTCAATCAGAAACATGAAGGTTGGATGAAGCTGAGAAAGCCACGAGCTGAAATGATTAATGTTGCATTAAAGGAAACACAGACACGTTTAGAAAATAGTTGTACCTGTTGTTTCAGCTGCAGCTGAGAAAAAGGATTGATGTTAAACAGACAATCCTTAAATTTTAGCATCTTATTTCATTTGATACGTTTTCATATCATCTGACAATATTTTGCTGGAGAATTTACAAACTGATGCTTAGTGGTCTCTAGTGTAAACGTATGCCTCGTGAGTCGATCTGTGCACTCCTCTTTAAGGAAGTGGAAGCGAGCCGGAGCAGAGCTGAGCAGAACACGGCCGGATTTGGACTCTTATTTCTTGATATTCAGACACCTCGCCTCTGATTGCATAACAGCAACGCGCCTCTACCCCTGACTCTGTTTACTTTGCAGCGTTGATGTTTTATTTCTAAATAACACGAGCCAGAAGGAGTTCTGCTGTGTGGTGGAGTTACTAATGCTAACGGTTAGCTTCTACTACTCAAGACATTCTCTGCGGTTTCCTGGATGCTAAACCAACAACAGCCTTCCCCGTCGCAGGTTAAAACGGGCGAGTCCACGAATGTTAATTTGATAATCTGACGTGTCACTGGCTTTTCTAATCAGAGTGTTTTTCAGTCTATTTTCAATCAGAACGCAAGAAACGTTTATCTCAGAGTGACCGATCGAGTAAAAATCAGTTCCTCAGAGAACCTGGTCTTTACACGCGTTAACGATGTGTTAGCTCATGGCCCAGCTTTGGGTTGGAGCACCACTGAACAACACTTCCAACAGTCCTGAAACAGTAGAGTAAAACTCGATGCTATCGTGTGACGTAAGTGGAGAAGACGTGCTCCGTGTGTACCTATGCTTCCATTGAAGCCTCCAACAGCGTACAGGAAGTCTGCTAACACAGCAGCTCCCAGTGTGCTGCGTCTCTCCTGCATGCTCGCCACCGTGCTCCACTGGTCCCTCCCTCCGTCGTACGCGTCCACCGTCCGCTCTCGTAGGGAACTGTTAAACCCTCCAACGGCGTACACCTGGCCTGCCATGGCAACCACACCTAGAAGCAACGAGTGGATACGACGCTGAGGGACAGTTCTAGTGGGAAACCCCAGTAGACTTGTCATTTACCAGCCAAGTGGCGCTCACACACATATTTGTACAATAACTAAATAGATCCACAGACTGACCTGCCCGGCAGCGTCGGGAAGGCAGGTCAGCCACTTGGTACCATCGATCCTCCTGGAAGTCGTAGCACTCCACGCTGCGGATGGCTTTAGGAGCCTGACCACCAACAACGATCATCACCTGTGAGCAGTCAGAGCTGTTAGGACCAACAAGAAGCAGCTTTGCAGAGGAACAGTCCAGGTGGAGCGGGGGGGGAACCTTGGGGATGCTGACAGGAGTTCTGGGTCTGGTCCGGTCCGTCTTGATGAGGTGTCTCTGGTCAGCTGGCAGCAGGTGATACTTCATAGCTTCTATGAGGAAATCTTTGCATGTGTTGTTGTTCTTTATCAAAGCTTCTTCCTCCACTATCTGTGGACATGAAACGCGCTTTCAGGCATGTTTGAAACTGAGAGTAACGTTGTAACAAAATGAAGGAAAAAAACAAATATTTTACCTTCACCAGGTAATCCCTGGACAGGAGAGGAAGTCGAACGTGCTCCATTAGTTTGGGCATGTGCTCCAGACGCGCTGGTTTATCGTGTTTGATCCAAGACACCATCGCCTCGAACACCTGAGAACAGATGGACACAGCGGCAAAAGACTTCAAGAAAGGGACAGAAAAACAACAACATAACGTCTCCTCTCTAGAGGCTGGGACGGGTTTGCCTCTCACCTTCTCCTCGGTGGAGACGGTGAGTTTGTCACTGGAGATCAGGCAGCACACCTGCTGCAGGGACAGTCCCAGGAACTCCTCGCCCTGCACCACCTCACAGAAATGCTGCTCTGAAATGCACAGATGAGCAAAGTTACGGTGAACTAGATCCCACACGAGCACCACCCGGTGACGTCCGTCGTGTGAGCCGAGCCGGGCTTACCGGCATAGGCGTGGGCCTGGTCGAGAAGCTGGGTGCACGTATGAAGATCAGCAAAAGCTCTGATGCCAAGGCAGTTTGTGGGATGAAGCTGAGACTGCAGGAACTCACAGCATACCTGGCGGACATCCATCAGCTGGAGGAGACTCGCCGCTGGCAGGAGAACCTGAGGACACATGAGGAGGAACCTAAAGAAGCACTCGCACTCTTAATCATCAAATCACAACATCTTTATCCACAGGAAGTTCATGGAGGCATTCCTCCTGAAGCACGACGGACCACAGCAACACCTTCACCACTCACACACCTTATACTCCTCTGATCATGATGAGGAGTGTCCTCTGATCTACAGAGCTGTAAACAAACGATCACCTCATCAGCGTTAACAGTGAGGTAGACCGATGACCTGGTAATTCTACTCATCGCCACCTGGTTTCAGCTGTTTATGAAGATGGAACAAAGCCGAGGTTTCATCTGGCTAAAGACTCACTAGTGAACGACAGGAGGTCTCTAAAGGATCAGTCTGGGGGGAAATCCTCTAGCATAACGGCCAGCCTCATTTGTTTTTAATCATCTAGTTCACCGTTTGACGGCCAGCATCCTCACACCTCCAGGAAGTGCAGCAGAACGACACAGAGCTGTAAAACAGGAAGGAATCGGTAGTAGGGCTGCACAGTTCTGGTTAAAATGACAATCACAACTTTTTTGCTCAGAATTGAGATCACGATTCTCTCACGCTTTAAGTATTTATTGCACTTATTACCTGCACATCAACTTCATAACAGCTGTCACTGAACATGAAAACAACAAATGTCTCTCGTCGTCTCTCACGTGCACGTTTGTGTGGCAAGGTGGAGAAGCGAGGGCCCGGGCGGGATTCGATCCCCAAATCAAATCAAATCAAATCAAATCAACTTTATTTATATAGCACTTTTCATACAAAAAATGCAACTCAAAGTGCTTTACAGATTAAAATGGCCCCATAGATCCCACATTCCCATCCCAGCCCCCCTCCCCAAGTATAAAACAATTAAAAATTACAGTTCCCCTCCCGCACCCAACTTCCAAAAGTGGACATACAATCACCCGCACACTCGTCCATGCACACGCACACACACTCGTGAACACCAGAGTAAACAATAGGCTGAGTTCAGATGGGTCAGGTAATGAACGACACATCATCAGCGGAGCCATCTGCCCTGGCAGCAACAGATCCACGGCAGCAGCCAAGACACCGGCCCATGACGCCCAGTGGCGTAGGGCAGAAACACCCACCAGTGCCCGGGCACTATCCCCAGACTCCCGGGAGAGAGTCGCACGCTCTAACCAGTCAGCCAAGGGGACATCCCATTGGCCAAGTAGCCAGGGCGCATGATCAATCAGGACACTGTGACAGGATGCTCACACTGCCACATTTGAATCATTTAAACAATAACAATTCTGAACAATGTTCCCTCTGCTCCTAAGAAAGGTAGGTAATAGGTATGTTTCTTAAAGAGCAAGTCACCCCCAAATAAACTTGTTTTTGCTGATAAACTAAATAAACGAATGTCTAATCGTGCTGCAGACACGTGTCATCAGTAATTTGGCACTTCAGTGCATCTTAGTTAAAATTTAAATATTCTGCCTAAAACTGGCAGTGTTGTGCCGTTGTCAGGTAAAAACTCTGCACTGTATTTTAATTTAAATCTGCCACCACTATTGGCTAAGAAGTATGCTATGATGTAAACTGGTACATTATGATGTCACAATGCTGTCATGAGCCTGAGTGTGTGTGTGTATTTGTTAGCAGCTCCGCCCTCTCGGTCTGCCAGGCAACAGCATGTGTTGCATTTTTCAAACATGAAGTGGGAGCGGAGTTAGACTCTGGTAGGGGGTTACTTGCTCTTTAAAATGTAAAACACAATTATTAACAACATTTAACATGAAAACATGACTGATGACCATGGCAGGACCACAACAGAGAACACGGTCCTTTCTTTTATCTAGTCAGCTGCTTAAAATCGTTTGGAAATGAGATTGCATACAAGTATGAATTGAGATCACAATTTTTTATGATTATTTGTGCAGCCCTAATCGATAGTTTGATTATGTTCGTGGATGAATGAACTTAACAGCTGACTTTATGGAAATACGAGAGTTTGATGTGAAGGAGAAAACAGAATATGTAAAAATGATCTGAAAAGTGCATCCATCGTCTAACTGCTACTGCCTGACCACTAGGGTCGTGGGGAGCTGGTGTCCTGCGGTCATGAGAGACGGGGGACACCTTGGACAGGCCGCCAGTCTGTCACAGAGACACACAACCAGTCACAAACTCAATCCTAGGACAACTTAAAGTAGAGGTGGGCCATTTACCAAAAATGTATCAATACCAAAATGTATGTCCAGTGTGTAGTCACGCAACTCTCCCTTCTCTGCTCTGTAACAGGAAGGGAAAGACGGTGAGCTAATGTAATTACCCCTAATCCACACTGGAGGCATCAGCGCCGTGGAACGGCAGTGGAACATCCACTGTAGTCCATAGTGTTGATCTAAAGCGGCCACGGCGCGGATCATTTCAGGCGTGTCTCAGAAGTGGTGCACCAAGCTCCTAGGGTTGGGTTGTATTTTTGCCATGAGCCGCTGCTGGAACGCATCAACTTCCACAGTTAACACAGGGCTGGACATCAAATCACATACAGTATCGGTGTAAAACGTCCGGTAATGTTCAAAATAAAAAGACTATTGCAGGGATGTGATTTCTCATGTATGTAGAATACGTCAACACACAATAAGAGTGACCTAATGGCTTATTTGCTCCCAGCGTCTCTCGAGAAGCGCAGCGGTGCGTTTTCCCTCATGGATGATGAGGCTACAACCCTGGCAGTGGAGAGGAACAACATTATTCCTGACAAACAGCAATATCAAACGTGATCTCCTTCTTCTTCTTCAATGGTGGAGGGCATAAACAAACCGTGACCTTTGAAGTCTTGAGGAATTTTGTCCAGCGACGACGGAGAAGCCGCTCCATGTCTGAGACGCTCCCTGGTGTGGATTGACGTGCCGCAAAACACACAAGTAAACCGACCTGGCGCCGTTTCGTGCTGCTGATGCCTCCAGTGTGACTTTGGGGTTAAAGCAGTGGTTGGCAAAATGTTGCCAAATGGCTGTCGAACAATTTTTGTGGGAACAGGCTTCTCCTCGACCAAATCCACCACTGCTCCCTCTAAATGCCGCTGAACAGGCTGTTATTGTTCATTTACCGTTAATAAGGTGAAGTGTTCGATGCATTGTGATATTGTTTTGAGGCCATATCACCCAGCCCTCATAAAGAGTCTCCAATCAACCGGACTTGCATGTTTCTAGTGTGTGGGAGAAACCCTGGGAAAAACCATGCATGCATGAGAACATGCTGACTTCATGCAGAAAATCTGAAGCCCAAATTCGAACCTGCAACCTTCTTGCTGCAAGGCAACAGAGCTACCAACTGCACCAGTACTGTAAAGGTTAAATGTAGCATGAATACAAGTGTTGCTTTGCTCAGATTCAGACCTGGTTAAACGCATGTCTACTCGTGATGAGAACAAACCAAAAATCTGCATCACTTCACACGACAGCCGGTCTAAAAGCCTCGTGTGTCCTAAAAGACAACGTCTGACCAGGAAAAGTCACATCCAGCAGCAACACACACACACAACAAGATAGCTAATTAGAAAGGCATGCAGCGGGAGGATTTCCTGTGTGTCCACACACACACTTCCTGCACTAATAATGAGAGGAAGCATCCTGGCTGCAGAGACCCTAGCTGGACAAATCAAGAGTCGATGCCCCTCAGAGCAGTAAACCTCAGTCCTGTGTGTCCACGTCCTTCACCTGCTCTCACACCTTCAGGACTCAAGCCCTGCTCCTGCTGGACACGTCTGAAGTTAGAGAAAGGACCCAGGACTTCTCTTCGCTCATAAATTTGACTAAACACAATTAAAAACGTCTTAATTTAATAAATAACCATTTTGATTAAGCTCTTAAAGCCCTTTTTTATAAACCAAATTTGAGTCATTGTAGTTGTTTGACCTAAATAATATAAAAATCCACATAAACATGTGAGTGAATTAACAATTACACAGTCACTGACGAATATCTGGGACTTTTTTCAAACCTGTCTGATATTTTATTACTCGGGCTAAAGAGAAAAGGTCGCGGCCGACGTGTAACATTTCCTTTGCAGCAACCAGGACGCTGTGGCTAACGCTGTGGGGTTTTAGTCAGGAACAGCTGTTTGTACTCAATCATCCACATGGTGGAAAAGTAACAGAGCTCTCAGACACACACACACACACCTGGACGTTGTCTTCTGTAACTTCGATCTCGGCCGTGTAAATGTAGTCCACCAGCTTTCTCAGAGTCTGCCCGCCCACGTCTCTGATCTCCACCTGATGGGCTTTGCTCTCGCTCATGTCACCTTCACACAGACCAAAATCAACTCACAGCTAAGCACGGACGCATGAACAAACACGGAGCAAACTCTTTGACACACGCGTATACCTGTGAACATGGCACAGAAGTAGGGGCTACAGGACGCCAACACAACCCTGTGAGCTGGAACCTCCACGCTGTCTGCCACCAGCTGGACGTCACACAGCAGCTTTTTACTAAAAGGGACATAAACAGAAAATTGTTGTGTTGTTTGTACCAGCTGATCCTGATTACTTTCACTGTGTTCCTGGCTGGGTGTGAGCTAACGCTAATGACCCAAGAGTTTTGGGGTAAAATTTGGATTGGAGGTTTTGACTATTTCTAATGAAAGAAGATAATCCAGTGTTTCCTCTGTGGGGGCCCTCTGCCCCGGGAGCGGTGGTCGACTGTAGCTTCCTGGGCGCTCTATAGGTGGGGGTCTATGCTCCCCCTCCACTGAGCGCCCTGACTTAGTGTGGAAGACCTGATGCTGCCGGGGCAGACGGCTCCTCTGATGGCGTTTCCTTGCGTTACCTTACTTGGCTCATCTGGACTCAGCCTAATATAATTTTTACTCGTGTGTGTGTGTGTGAGTCTGTGTTTGTGTGCGTGTGATTGCATATGTTTGTTAATGTTTTTAACCTGTTATGGGAATCTGGGGTCATTTTGTAAAGCACTTTGAATAACACTTTGTTTGAAAAGCGCTTTAGAAATAAAATTTGATTGATTGATTGATTGAAATATTTTAAATTTAAAATTCCCAATCACCAATGTGTGTTTTAATACATAAAACTCTCCCATTCTGGCCATCACGCTAACAGATACACACCTTCTCAGGTCGTTCATCAGATGGAAAGCCTTCCTCATGTGCGTCTGGTTGAAGGTGTGAATCCCTCCGTTCACGGTGTCCTCCTCTGAGTCGGCGCTGCCGTTTGGCTGTGGCGAGGCCGGCGCAGCCACCAGACTGGTAAGACATGAGAGGCAGTGTCTGGATCAGCGGAGATAGATGGGAACCAACCAGTTAAATGTGTCGCAGCTTGTTTTTAGATTAGACAGAGAAATCAAATAAAAAGCATAATTTGTTTTCTAATATTTGGTCTTACGCACAAAAATGTTGAATTTCTTTATCTTGAATTTCCCAAACAGTAAGGCTAATTTTTTACCAAGATATATTGGGCTTTTCCCCCAAGTGCATAATCTGTTATTCTTCTTTAATAATACAGTTTTCAAGTTAACCTCCAAGTTTTACAAAAGGTGATAAATCATGAAAATCCCATTTGCTCAAATCTGAACTACCTAGTCTAAAATAACATAAATAAAGCAGCGCCAACAATCATCAGTGTGACAGAATCTGGAGCAACTTGAGGACCTGGCCCTGAAATATCAACACTTCTTCGTTAGTTTATCATTTCCTGAATCAGATCCATGTAACCAGTGCAACGTAACAAGGATACTTACACCAGATCACATCTAACACACCTATCTTATTAAGACCAACCAGTCATGATCAACTAGTTGGAGTCTAACCTGTGAGAACAGCTTAGCAACAAGTAAATAAAGAAAAGCTATTTGATTAAATAATGAAACGAGATTAAAATGCTGTGCAGTCAAAAGCGGTAAGTCTATAAATCATCTTAACTCTTTGACTAAATTCCTGCCTCTTCTTCGTTTAAAACCTAAAACCCGTGTGTTGCTATCTGCCCTCCCAGGCTTGCTTGCTAGTTCCACAGCTAACATCAGCCACTGACAAACACCGTCACCCCGGTGAACTGACTCTAGAACAAACACAACCGTGTCCGTGCTCAGATCACTGTCTGATAACTACCACTGCGTGACATTTCCTGATTTTTAACTTTGCAGCAACTTAACTGGATCCTCTGAGCTACTATGCTAGCAAACCAAACAAAGCTAACTGGTCAACACAGCTAGCTTGGAGTTCCCTCAGGAAGGAGCTCCGTGGCTGCCCGCGGTGAATTTGAGACCAGTGGGGATCATGTGGGATAAAATGTTATCTAGCAGATGTACAAGCAGCTTGAGTCACAGCTTGGCTACATTAATTCCCTCCGCTGAGCCAACTCACCCTAACGACACACCGTCCATCCTCACGGAGTCGGAGACCACAGCAGGCATGAGAGCGCTACCCGAGTATCCACTCACAGAAGCTGGATTGGTGAGATGGATCACCCGTAGGGCCAACCAGCGGTCACGGCCTGTGGGAGAGTTTGGCAAGCCGTTGTTGTATATAAAATAACATAGAACAACAACAACAAAACAACAATAATGATAGTACAAAAATATTTTGATCTACAAGAGCATTTACATTTCTAAATCTCAAAAACTGAAATATTTTGTGGCAACTTCACTAGAATGGAGGAGAAGAAAAAGATAGAAACAAGATCACGAGGTGCTTCACAAGAACAAAAATTTTCAAAAGAAAACAGATTTAAAAATTTGGTTGGAATGTTAAAAAAGTGATTAAAATATATAAGGAAAGGGAGAGAGAAAATGAGATCCACTTGTAGCGTTTGGTTTAGCATGTGTGTCAGCTCTTAGCATTTTCTTGAACTTTAATCTTTAATACAAACAAGAGCTTTCCATGAACTGCATGCATTCATTGTGGCATTGTTTCTGGAAGCTTCTGCAATGTCACAAGATTTATTTCCATCCAGTGTTGCATCAATTTTTACCAAGATCACCAACATATTTCACTGTTTGAGTCCAATGAATCCTGGCATTGTCATCTTGGAATATGCCCGTGTCATCAGTGAAGAACAATTGATGGAATACCCTGGGCGTTCAGTATATTGTAGGTAGGGTGACAGTGCTGCATTTCGTTACGTTTCACACATCCCACAAATTAAGACTGCTCTGCATTATTGACAGTCTCCTGTTTTGAGTGTGAATCTTGCATAAATTGTGTAGAAAGCTGCGGCTGTCAATCAAACTAGGAGGTGGGACTTTAATGCAAGTGTGGAGCGTGCTCCCGAACCACTTAAACAAAAGGACAGGGTTAAAACGGAGAACTGATAGATGGGTGTGGTGGAGAAAATGATGTTAGAATAAAGAATCGTGGGTTTAAGCTGTTCCAGAAGACTCTGATAGAGTCTTCTAATAAGTAACTCTTTTAACTTTATAAATCACCCTCCTTCTCCTTCTTAATATTAAAATTTTCATGAGGACAAAAAGAAAGATTAGGTTTTATAGGAAGCCTAAATATTCTCTTCTAAATGGCTAAAAATAACAAAAAGTGTAGTAAAAGCTTTCAGACACTGAAGGGTGGCAACTCGCCATCTTCCCTTCTTTTGAAATGCTGTTGAAATCAGAGTGTTGTTCTATTTTTGCCAGCAGAGGGCGCAGATTCCCAGTTCTGTCATGGCAATAATACTGTATATATAGTGTTATAGTTTTCTCAGTTGCTTAAACACTAAAGTCCATTGGCTGAAGAAAGCTATCAGGTGCTCAAACTCATTAAGCTAACTGTCGTCAATACTTAAAACATTTTCACATGATTTAGCGAAACTCTAAACACATTCTGGACGCAAATGCACATGTCATCCATACTGGTAAACACAAGTGGCAACAATTACCTAGAAAGAGAGCAGAAGTGTCATTGATTGAACACAATTAGTCAAAATCAACTTAATTTGTTTTAAATGGTGTGACAACCAATATAAGCCCTTTCAGAGAGCTAACAGGTTTGAAGGTGGGAATGAGAAAGTGAGAGAATGGAAAGAAGAATTTATGTGAGAGAACGAGGACGAGTGTGTATGCGAGGTGGGGGACGAGAAGAAAGTGGAGGAGAAGGAAAAGGTAGGCAAAGAGTGAAAATATCAGATGAACTTTGAGCGACAATTAAAGACCATGTTGTGGTCCATGGACTGACAGTGAGGACAATCTAATTTGTACCGCTTTTCTGTGTCCACCATAGTAAGGACATTCAGAGAAGAGAACAGGTGCAGTATGCTAGTGTATTTTTGTAATTATAAATTTACAGTACTACAGTACATTCAGCCAATCCAATAGACATTTGTAAAATTCATCACTGTATTGCACTGCATGAATGGTTTTAGTAGCTGCATTTCTACTTTTCATAGACTTGCAAGGCTGTCACGTGCAGGTGGAAGGACAGCTATATTCACGCAGGAGCAAGAGACCATTATAGCAGGCACGGTCCTTCAAAATAACACAATACGACTCAGAGAAATGCAGAAACGAGTGATACAAGGAAACACACACTTCCAGGAAATCAACAGTGTGAGCATTTCCACAATTGACTGTGTCCTCTATCGCCACAGGATGCGAATGAAACATGTTTACAGAGCAACTCACCAAGGGGTGCAAGTAAGTATACATTCACACATTTACTGTAATCAAGACTGTCGCAACGTACTATGTGAATGACATTACTCTTCAGTACAATCAATCAGAAGTGCTTACATTAGGCCTAATTGTACACTACAGCCAGGGCCAGATTAACACTTTGTTGTACCCTGGGCAACAATATTCAAGGGCCCCATCATCACGACCCAAGGATCACCATAATGTGGTCACATACAGAATATTTTACTGTAATATGCAGTAAATATACTCAATACTTGAATGCCTGACGTCACGTAACCCGCTCAGGGTAACCTTTGACCCACCTCGTGTGGACTGACCAATGAGGAGAGGGTCTTAACTTCAGGCCCTCTCTTCATTGGTCAGTCTGCATGAGACTGACTCAACTGACGTTCAAAGTCATAGGCAGCGAACAGTCTCTGTGCAGCATAAAAGCCCGGGTGGACAGTTTGTTTAATATAGGGTGACCATATTTCCATTTCCAAAAAAGAGGACAGGGGATTTGTACCTATGATGTCACAGTATGGCAACGCCACACAAACCACGTTGGGACCCATTTTTTGTAAGAACTAAATTTATATCAGATTCTGCCAATAAAAGGGCTCCAAAACAATTCATATGTAAATATTTTGCATATTTATTGCAAAATCTCATTTTTCTGCTCTAGTGCTGCAACAAGGTTTTGTTAATAATAAATTATTATACCTTTTGTTTTACTACAGCATTGGTAAGCTTCCTGTGCACAGATTATTGAGGATGCTTGTTTCAGCTGTGAGATTAGATGATAGGATCAATGAAAAAATAAGTTGTCACACACTCCATGGAAACTTTCAGAGAATCCACAAATAGTGGCTTTCAAATGGTTTTGTTACTTTTTGCAAGTTTAGAAAAGCAGCAGATGAGACAGCATGTCTGATAATTTAGTTTTTCATCTGATAACATGTCAGCGATGTCTGGGGAGCTTTTATAAACACTGTATAACTAATACTCCTGAGGGTATGAGAGCTGTGCCGCTCTCTGCTCAAAAGAGTCCATAAATGATGTAATATAGGTAGAAAACTTTTTTCGGCTCCCCTGGATGTGTAAGATATACAGCTCCCCCATAATTCGATCCTTGCTCCTGGATGAAAAGCCGGACATTTTCATCAATACAAGCCCCCCCGGACAGAGTGAAAAGTGGACATGTCCGGGGAAAACCGGGCGTACAGTCACCCTAGTTTAATATAAAGCGGGAGATTACAGATAGGCCTACAGTATTTTGCTCGTGCCCTTGCTGCCCTGGGCCCTTTAGAGTTTGTGGGGCCCTGGGCAATTGCCCAGTTGCCCATATGGTTAATCCGGCCTTGACTACAGCATAGCATTGTCTCTGTACAACTTACACAATTCTACATGAAGTATATTACATTTCTACACAGACAATAATGACTTGGAACCCTTGAACAGACCACATGAGTTCCTCTTTGTCCATACCATAAACCTTTTCACATGCTTTAGCAAAACTCTAAACACATTCGGAACCTACCTACCTAATCACAGTTACGCAAGAGCTAGAGGTACATGTCTCAAATATCTTTCATTTGTTATATATTTATTTTTTAATGTAAAATAATTTAAATTCTATCTAGAGGTGGCTCATATCCTATCATCCACCAGTAACCATTTCTTGTCCAGAGAGAACAATCTATCATGTTACGTAAGATAAACTCATGATGCATCCTCTAGTCTCTGCAAAGTTTAGAGCAGAACATTGACCCAGAAGTTTCCTGATCAAGCAAACATGTGAAAATACATGTAATCATCGCTTAGAGATGTAGCAAGCTAGTGGTCAATCTAGCAGCTAGCCGCCACAATCAGGTATGGTGTGCTTCTTCAAAGATTCATAATAGTTTATGTTGACATCTTAATGTGTATTGGATTATTTTTTCAGCTCTACCCATAGACTGGCTCTACCGAGCGCCCCAGCTAAACAAACCAACACACTGACTTAAACTTGCTCTGATTGGTTGTTCATCAGTGCGTCTGTTGTGTCAACAAAAGCAGACTAGCAAATGTCACGACTCGGCTGAGAGAAGGAAAAAAAACAAGTGTGCTCATAGATTCGTCCAGGAATAACGGCACAGGAAGGTGATAGAACGCAAACAGATAGTTCTACGAGCTTTGGTAGATCATCCTCACTTTAGAATTCTTAACAATCTTGTGTCGTCAGATCACATGGCCCTACCGGGCGATGCACGTGTGAAGTGAATGATCTTACTTCCTTTAATGAGTCATTCACAACTGTGACAGCAAGCTAACAGCAAGACGGCACTCTCTCTAATGCTGGAGGCGAACGACTGTTTTTAACCTTGTTTAACCTAATATTGTGTTTGAAAAACATTTTAATGGTAAAGTGAATTATATTTTTAATCACCTAGATTTAACAGCCTGGTATAACAATGTTTATTTATTCAGCAGACGCTTTTATCCAAAGCGACTTACCTATAACCTATAGGGCATGTTGTGATCTGTGGGGGAGACCGGAGTACCCGGAGGAAACCCACGCATGCATGGGGAGAACACGCAACTCCACGCAGAAAGGCCGCAGCCGAGTTTCGAACCTGCAACCTTCGTGCTGCGAGGCAACAGTGCTAACAACTGCGCCACAATGCAGCCCAATAAGACAAATCGTGTTAAAATACGCTTTTAAAAAATCCTGAATTTATTTTAGCAAATCAATACCTCCAAAATTGCTCATTAGGCATCTTTACTCAAGTGTGGTACTTTCCACATGAATTCATGTTTGCTTTAATAAGACACACACACACAAAAAAAAAAACTCACAACTGACTGCTGCATCCTAGCAAAAAGTTCAAATCTTGATTTAATAAATCATTTAAATATTAGTCATTCAGGATTTTATGTTAAATGCTAACCTAATTTCAGACCACTAAACACCATAATAGCTAAATCTGAGTATTGTCCTTTATTCGTCTCAGTCTGATGGCGAAAATTAGAAATCCTCCCTCCTGGTGGTGGTTTTTATGAACCCAACACGTGGGTTTCATGATGTTCAAAAATGTGTCGTTTAATTATGATGCAAAGATATAAGCTAGTAGACTGAAATTAGGACAGAAGCAATAAATAGATGTTCAAAAACATTAAAAAGTTTTAATAAAAGAGTAAAACACAAGGGTAAAATGAACACATCCACTTCAAACAATTTGTCAAAAAAAATAAAAAGGAAGCCTAAAATGGGACGGCGAGGTAAAATTAATGCAGAAATTTACAGTTAACACTCCGTGACAGTTTCAGTTGTTTTACTCGTTTTAAGATCAAGAAACTCAAGCAATCAAGCCTCGTTTAGCGCCACACTGACACCAACATCACTTTAACCCTGAGTTCATGATACAAAAATAATCACATCTGACTGGTTTGCAAGAAGCAGGGACTGAGACATTACGGCTTCACAAAAGGAACAACTGAGGTCTTTCTGAAACAAAAGAACAGTATGATGAGTCACAATTCAAAGTCATAATGTCCATTAAGGGTAGAACAAAAAGGAACAGATGGGAGTCCGAGTGAAGGTGGCGGGTTTCATTCATTCTCAATGTGTAGGTGACGGGCACAACTCGATTTTATTCGACCAAAGACCAACCCCACCTGGGATGTGTATATAAATTGAAGTTCGTTCAAGTGTCTACATTAATTTTCTTTTTCGGTTTCATCGCGCAACTAATAGCCACCGCTAAACCCACCACCCCGGGCGGGGCCCACGCCTCCTCCTGCGCCTCTGTAGGGAGCCCCGCTCCTGTAGGAATAATTGCCGCCCTTCATTGCGCCATAGCTGGACTGTTGCTGTCCATAGCCCTCACCAAAGTCACCGTTGCTGTATCCGCCTCCCATCTCGCTGTTGTCATACCCGTTGTATCCTCCATAGCCCCCGTAGCCGCCGCTACCACCGTAGTAGCCTCCGCCATAGCCGTAGCCACCTCCGTAACTCCCGCCATAGCCGCCACCGTAACCTCCTCCGTAGCTGCCATCGCCTCCTCCTCCTCTCCCGCCACCGAAGTTCTGCATTCCTCTTCCTCGTCCTCTTCCTCCTCGACCGCCACCGCCGGTCATTTCTTGCTTCGTGAGGGCTTTCTTCACCTCCACCTTGTTCCCGTTAATCGTGTGGTATTTGTTGAGCACGGCTTTGGTGGCGGAGTCGGTATCCTCAAAGAAGACAAAGCCGAAGCCTCGCCTCCTGCCGGTCTGCTTGTCGGAGATGATTTCAGACTTCTCCACGGCGCCGAACTGCGAAAAGTACTCGGTCAGATTTTCAGCCTCGATGTGGTCTTTCACGCCGCCGACGAAGATTTTCTTGACGTTAGCGAGAATGTCCGGGTTGTTGGCGTCTTCTCGAGCTATGGCCCTCTTCAGTTCCACGTTGTTGCCGTCGACGACATGTGGCTTAGCAGCCATTGCTGCGTCGGTCTCCTCTGGTGTCGAGTAGGTGATGAAGCCGAAACAGCGGGACCGTCCGAGTTGCTGGTTCATTACCACAACACAGTCGGTGAGCACCCCGTACTGCTCGAAATACGCACGGAGGCCTTCATCCGTGGTTTCCACATTCAGCCCTCCGACGAACAGCTTACAGAGTTTATCCGCCATGTTTGAGATTCTCGAGAGAAAGATGGAAATCAGAGACCATTCCTCTTCTTCTTCAATGAGCGTCAAGGCGGGACGTTCTTGTCCCTGCCTCCATGTGACGTACCGCTCTCTGATTGGCTGTTGTTGTTTAAAACAGTCTCGCGATATTTGCAACGCTTAACGTGAAAAGCCTTTTACAGCCAAGATTATATGAAATTCTCGAATCATCCATTCATTTTGCTTTACAAGCGTAATCTTGTTTTATCACTCTAACACGCTCAGTATACAGTAATTTATAATACAATAAATAAAAATACCAATCTAGTCTGCATACAAGTTCTGATTTTTTTTATTTACCCTGTCCCTGCAAGTTTTAAAGGATTTCGGGGAGAATATATGGCTCATGATTCGGTTCGTGGGACAATGGTTTTGTGCTTGTTAAACGACAATTAAAAAAAAACTACCAACAAGGCTTTGCTCACTTTAGAAAACAATATACATTTTTATGGATTTAGCTTTATTACACCACTAACTGCAAGCACCAGTTTTAAGATTACCAATATGCGCTCATAAATTTAATATATCCCTATAACCTTAAATCTCAAGACCATTAGAAAGAGCAGCATAATGAGCTGTTCATTTAACTCAGCTTCCTCCTTCCTGAGGTGCTTCAACTATTCTGCAAATAGAAGTTTTTATCATGCTTACTTTTTCATTGACTGCTACAAAGCACAAAATCATTTTCTCTTACCCACAGAACTACTGATAAAACTTTACTTGGCTGTTTCACATGTTCCCCAAAACAATGAAAAACCTAGTGTGTAGGTGTAGATTACAATTATCTGAGATTTTTACTCATAACCTGACCATAACCCCACAATAGTATTTTCCTCAATCTAATTCCCCCATTTGTTAATGATCTACATGTTTATTATTTAATCCACCTTATCTGTACAGCATAAACAAACCAGAAGACACATTTGTGAGGCATTCTGTAAATAAAATGATATAAAAAAGTAACAAGTCTTTGAGGATAAAACAGATTTATTACTCATTTATAAAAGCATGGTGAACAAAAAAAATGTATTTTCCTATGGAGTCATCAGAAGTCAGCAAGCACAAAAACCTATAGGAGAAAGAAAAACATTCATGCCCATGTATAACCAGTGACGCTTTGTTGAAAGCATACAATTAAAAACATTTCAAATGGTCATTGTGGTTAATCTTTGCTCCGTTTCTGGATACTTGCCGTTACACTTCATATAAGTCTGGGGAAGACTGTGGCTGTGTATATTTTATCATGACAAAACAACCCGTGACATATTTCAACCAGCTTACATACTTCCACCTTCTTTGGTAGAAGTTGCTGAATTTTCTCTGAAAATTCACCTGAGGGGAAGAAGGCACGATCGCGCTTTGGTCCCCAGTCAGCATGGAGGCACACACCCCATCACTTTCAGGGTGATGTCCTCCTGTCCAGGTTACCATAGCAACCTGAAGAAAATGAAGAAACACAAAATTAGTGCTTGAAACTGAAGAGGTTAATTCCAGGACAGATTACTTGCCCCATTTCATTTTCTTTGTTGGTGGAACAAGTGTCCCCTTCCACCCACTTTAAGTTCAAAATTGACCAAATTAAGCATTATCCACCCCCATCATTATATTCAATTTTTAGCTATATGAAAAGACGAATTCATCTGAGAATAAGATTAAATAATGGTACACTTGTGCACCATCATAAATATGCCATACATAGTTGACCAACACAGAGTGAAGACAGGTTGATTTACATACCTAGTTGGCTGGATGTGGATATCCTAAAGAGATATTTCAGACTCCTATCACAACCGACCCCAGGTAATCAACAGGGTCCTGATGTAGCCTACAAACAAACTGCTACGGCTATTTTGGCTGGGATAGCCTACTGGAATACAAGTATGAACACCTAAATATAGGAATAATCAAAGATAATTATCAGACCCCCCACATAAAGACGTGTAGAAAATGATCAAATATGAGTCATATTAGCAATAACTAAAACCACAAATTTTAATACAAGGTTACACCCTACAAAGCCTACATGCATCGGCTGTGGGTAGACTGCAACCATTTCACCCACCTGAATGTAAGGGATTAAACTGTGGAAAAGACGCCATGTAACTAACAAGATGGAGCCACTTAAACCTGTGGATAAACTTGAGGAAGCCTCGTTAAATAATTAAGATAACTAAGCTAAGTGGTATAACGTTTTATTTAAAATGAACATACATAAGCAGAGTGTTTCAACAATAAGTTTTGTTCTCCAGACATGAAGTATACAATATACATTAGATATTGCTACAAGTAATGGAAAACAAACAAATGACGGAAACTACCACTATGCTTGAGTATTTTAGGAACAGGCTGAGAATGAAAAACTAAAATCCTGCAGTTTCGCCTTTGCTGGATGATACAATTTGACCGTCGTTACAAATCTATGAAAACTAAACATGCTTTATTTAATCTTCACACATTGGAAAATACACTGGATTACCAAAGCAAACAGATTTGGAACCAACTATTTAGAAATGGCAAAATATTAAAATAAGAACGGGTCACCAAAACAATCCTACATCAAAAGCTTGATAAACAGAGTGAACGCAAAAAAAAGTTCAAATCTAAACGACATCCGCACACCGATGGCGTGGGTACATAAAAGGAATCACTGAAACTTAATTCTTGTGTCCTAGATGAAGAGCAACAACAGCTGCCGCCATAAATCAGGTGTTCTGGGAAGTGACCTTCCTACCTGTTTGGGTATTTGAGGTCTTGATTAGAGGTGGGGGATCTCGGTCTCTGCCATGGGAGGATTTCACGGCAGACGCCCCATTACTGTTTCACGTCAAAATCCTGGCTGGGGGGGTGACTTGTGGTAGGAATTGGGGGTGGTCCCTTTGTGCAGTCTCATCTAGTAGCCGCCACCGCCATAGCCCCCTCGTGGGTAGCCGCCGCCACCACCGCCTCTGGTGTAGGGAGCAGCGCTCCTCTGGCCTCCGAAGGGCCCTTTCATGGGACCGTAACCAGAAGAATGCTGACCGTAGCTGCTGCCGAAGTCGCTGTAGCCGTTTCCGCCGCCATAGCCGCTTCCTTGGTCACCATAACCACCCCCATACGGTCCGCCGTACCCTCCGTAGCCGCCATAGTTGTAACCGCCGCCATTTCCGTAGTTGTAGCTTCCGCCATAATCTCTGCCTCCGTAGCCATTTTGATTTCCTCTCGTGCCTCTGCCTGGCCTGCCCCCCCTGGGCGCCATTCCGGTTCTGCTGGCGGCCTGCATCTCTTGTTTCGTCAGAGCTTTCTTTACCTCTACTTTGTGTCCATTAACTGTGTGGAACTTGATCACGACCGCTTTATCAGCAGCGTCGTGATCTTCGAAGTACACAAAGCCGAAGCCCCTTTTCTTTCCGGTCTCCTTCTCGGAGATGACTTCGGATTTCTCGACCGGGCCGTACTGTGAGAAGTAGTCGGTCAGATGTTGCTCTTCGATGTCGTCTTTCAGGCCACCAACGAAGATTTTCTTAACTTTGGCAAGCGCTTCGGGCTTGTTAGCATCCTCTCTCGCCACGGCTCGCTTCACCTCAACTGCGTTCCCGTCGACAGTGTGAGGCCTGGCCGCCATTGCAGCGTCGGCCTCCTCCGGCGCGGAGTAGGTCACAAAGCCGAAACAACGAGAGCGCTGAAGCTGCTTGTTCACCACCACAACGCAGTCGGTCAGGGTCCCGTACTGCTCGAAGTGCTTGCGCAGGCCGTCGTCGTCGGTGTCCACATTTAGCCCACCGACGAAAAGTTTACAAAGCTGGTCACTCATGTTTAGAGAAAATGGCGCGAGCTCAGTGTAGCTTTCCTGTACTCAACGATGAGTCGGTCTTAAAATGGCGGCGATAGCGAAACGCACTTTTATATATACCCTACGGACAGTGACGTCAGCTCTTGAAACGCCTTTTCCGGGTCACGCTTTCTTCTTTGTTGAAATTACAAAATGTTCGACCCTACGCTTTTAAAATGCGTCATAAAACAAAAAATTAAAATCACGGTATTGTGTTTTCATGCCCGGCATTTTCTCTGTACTTTGGTTTGACACTAACATTCATATCAAATGTTCTGACCTCTGAAACCTGAACCAGTTCATCTACTAGCTAACACGAGCTCCGACACGATACTAATGACTGATTGAAACATTAAGTTTTTAAACTTTTAAAGCGATTGATTTCACCGATACTGTCCACACAATAAGTTAATCAGAATTTGCAGCCCAGGTGCAACAAAATTATTATGCGCGTTGTCTTAGGCAGAATTTACAAAGGATTACTCTCATAATTTAAAAATCCCTTCAATACCTCAAATCTCTTACTTATTCACTAATAGCCTTCTCATATGTTTAACTCTCTCCCTGAACTCAGATCATTATAGTTATTAGTTGCATTTCTACCTTAATGACTTGTCTCTTAGTCCCTGGAAATGCTTACACGAGTAAACTGCAAACACAAAAATACTGAAATAAACAAAACGGCAATAATTTGAACTAAAGTATTTTAGTGTTTCTCCAAATGGATTCATGTCAATATTTAAAAAATGTTTGCGCATCAATCGATCTTACATCATGTATCCAGATTAGTGTATTTAGAGTAACATGCTTTCAGGTAACACGGTATAGAAGTTTGCAAGTGAAGGGAGTGTGTTTACCCCAGTTTGTGTTGAATGTGAACCATCTTGTACTTTTGATACAATCATTGCTGTTGCATTGATCAGGATCTTATCAGTAAGTGACTCGGCCTGCTGACAGGTCTGACCTTAAGAGATACCTTCAAAGGAAGAGGTTGTTGTTTTAATTGAAAAAACAATGCGTTTAAATTTGATTTAATAATGCATCTTGTGGCCCTTTCATGATTTTTTTTAAAAGAAAACAAATGCCAAAGTAACATTTAACAAGGTTTTTTTATTTGCTGTAGTAAAATCAAACATCTAACTACTAGTTTTTCCACCCAGTCCTTTTCTCTAGAGAGTAATATTCAGAATAAAGGCCTTTAAGATAATGACATGTTGGTAGTCCATGTGCTTGGATGAATCAGTTCAAACAACTTCTAGCCACATCTAAAACACAGTCTGAAAGAAGAAGAGCCCAGTTTCTGTGAGACAACACTGGGGGGGTGGGGGAGATGGACCAGCTAGCAGAATGGGGTGGGGGTACTGGATCACAGCTCCACTGGTGGCTCTTGAGTTAACCCGGTCACAGATGACAGGCCAGGATTTGGTCTTGTTAACACTATAAGCATCATTCAAATGATCACATGATGTAGACCTTTTCTGCCTGAGAGAAGTTGAAGACTTCTTTGGTTCTGGGACACACCACTTTGTCATCTTGGCGAATGGATAGCAGGGACTGGGGAACAAAAACAGAATAAACGACTCAGCTTTATAGGACTGTTCTGAAATTCCAGATGTGGATCTGCATCTCACGGAGGACTTACGTTGTATCCATACACATATCCATTAGGCAGCATCATAGGAGGGTTGTTTTCATTCATGACCTCCCCAGAGATCTTACACACTAGTCTAGAGTTGGCACAGTGAGCCATAGGTAGCGGCTGGGCCAGTTTGTTTAGAGATTTACTGCAAACTGGGCAGTCTGGGTTTTTGGAACTACCATCCTCCTTGTAGCATTGACTGATGTGGATCGTTAAGGATCAGGTGCATCTTTTAGTCAACATATGTGTCCCCATAAGAAGACAGCTATATACAATTATCCACAGTTTGCATTGTTAGGTGTCGGGAGTTGAAATCACAGCAAAGTGAAGGATACGGGGTCTTGATGGCAGACAGCCCAGCCTGCAGGGTGATGGTGAAGACAGAGTTGTTTCCCAGCTGGTGAAGTCTGTAGTTGTCATATCGAAACTGCTGGATCAACATCTTCCAGCGAGCTGGATCCAAAAGATCCTAAAGAAACGAAAGACAAAGGCAGGAGTTTTATCGTCACTTTAGATGTTTACAGGTGTGATTTTGTGATCCTGAAGACTAAAGTCTTCGAGAACACAACTTTCTGTCCATTTTCACCCACTTATGTCATTCTGGGTCACAGCTCCAGCAGAGAGGCCCAAACCTCCCTTTCCCCAGCGACCTCCACCAGCTCCACCAACAGGATCCCCAGGTATTCCCTGGTCAACGTGGAGAAATAACACCTCCAGTGTGGCCTGGTCAACCTGGGGGCCTCCCACACACCTCTGCTGGGTTGCATCCAGGAGGTACTCATTAAATATCCAAACCAACTCAGCTGGCTCTAGGGATGGGTACCTTTGACAGAATCGATACGGTACCAATTCCCGGTACCTACAAATCGATACCGGTACTTAATGGTACCAATTTTTGATACTTTTGAGTGTTAAATAATTATTTAAATCACTTTTTAAATTAAATATATATTATTTTCCCAATATATAATCACATTTGATAAATAACATAAAACAGTTTGTAATTCATCAAAGTTTGTACAAAATTCTTAAATATGAAAACCTTTAACAACAACTGTCTCTAAATGGCTCAAAAACAAACCCAGCTCCATGTACTGGAATAACTGATGAGGAGACCATGTATTTTGAACTACAAATAAAACTAAAGCAAACTTAGATACCATACAATAGCTTGTATTTTAATATTGTGGTGTTTCACAAACTAAAACCAGCTCCATGTACTCCTTTCCCTTCTGGACAAACTGAGATGGTGGGTCCTTGTAGTTTTATAAACTACACTGAAGCAAACATCTTTGCTGTGAACTAAATTTACTGTGCATCTTCATTACTGTTGCTGTTCATTTTTAGACTGTTTATTTTTCTAACGGAGTTGGAATTTCCAAGGAGAAAATGAACGCACCATTAGCTATGTAAACAAAAACTCAGCTAACGTTATCTTAAACAGTTTATTTTGCTGCGGGAGCAGATTGAGATGCCTCATACTCATCACCGCCCAATTGCCCAACGCATTCAGTGAAGTGAAGCCAAACTTTAGAGCGCATTTGCTGTCTTCTAGTCGGAATTTTGGAGTTCCCAGTAGAAAGTGAATGCACCATTAGCTGAACGGAAGCCAACATATCAAGCTAACGTTATGTTAAACATTTTATTTACCTACCTAGCAGATCACCTTAATCTGCTCCGGTCTTAGATCGTTGTTGCTGGTTTCATCATCACCCAGTTACCCATCCCATTTAGTGAAGTGGACCCAAACTTCAGAACACTTCCTCTCTGCCATGCTACTTTGTTTACAGCTAGCCCAGAGTGACTGATGACATAGGGAGCCTAAGTCACTTCCGCATCATGGGTCCCAGGAAGAACAAAAAAAAAATGAATGCAAGTCAATGGGGCTAAAAATGCTAGTTTCTAATTTGCTTTGACCACGCCAGTCACGTACTTTGAGATTTATTAGCTTGTTAAAGTTCATAAATAGTATGACTACAAACTAGAAATTGACAGGTCGCATATGTGACGTCACCACATAATCTCCTCTCCACTAACGTAGCTGCTACTTACCACATAGCCAGATTTATGGTGGTTCTTTTCTCCTGCGGGAAGCTCGCTGAACTTACAGCCCTTTTCCCTCAGTTTTCTCTGTGTCTGGTTCGATGACGTCACTGTTGTGATAAGCATTTGTAGTCTTGGACTTATTTTCACACAAAACCTAAAATATTGTTCCCCCCGTTCGAAAATAAGCACATTCTTGGTATCAAAATGAGTCTTTAAAAATTCACGGACATCATATGTGAAATCCATGTTACAAAACAAGCCGAGTTAGAAAATAGTGTTTTTAGCCCCGTTGACTTGCATTCATTTTTTCGTTCTTCTGGGGACCCATGATGCAGAAGTGACTTAGGCTCCCTATTACGATCATGCGCCGGCACATGGCACGCGTACTGAAACAAGAAACCGTTTCATATGATGTGAATTTGTACTCAGACGGTACTTTCTATTCTAAAGTTGCATTTATTTTTACTTGCATGTAAATGTGTACATCCCTATTAATACATCTGCTTAATAAATGCTCTGAAACATTATCAACTGATCGCTCTCTTTTTTTGTGCCCGTTTTGTACATTTAATACCTGGTCAGTTTATTGGTATTTTTTTTATTAATATTGTTATAATGTTTGATTTTATCACTGAGCAGTGCACAAAATTAAGATTCAACAGTTGGTTAAAAACTGATTAGATTCAGAAATCTTGTGCATTCACAGTTATTATTGATACTTAAGCAATTTGATAAGGTGCCAAACATCGAGATATCGGCCATGAAATCGGCAGAACTTATCGGCCATCGGCTGACCACGACCGCCTCGTATTGGTATTGGTAATAGAAAAACCAATATCGATCGACCGTCGACCTTTACTATGGAATTCGGTCAATGCCTTAAAAAGTACCGAATTTGGTACCCATCTGGCTCCTCTCAACATGGAGGAGCAGCAGCTCTACTCCGTCTCTCCCGAATGTCTGAGCTCTTCACTCTTTCTCTAAAGCTGAGCACAGCCATCCAACAGAGAAAACTCATTTCGATTGCTTGTATTCACAGTCTTGTTCTTTCAATCTCCTGCTCCCTCTTTCTCTCATTCGTGAACAAGCCCCCAAAATACTTGAGGTTGAACCTAAAGACACAAATTTGCATCCGGCCATAGTCACTTTGTCACAGGCCTATAAATGGAGCCCAGACACAATGATACTGTGATAATTCTGTCAGCACACTGCAGAAGCAGGGGAACAACATCAGTGTACATGTAGCACATCGCTTCTCAAAACAGGAAGCTCATTCTAAACCATGCATCTTTATTATTAATAGTGTGTTACATTACAGTCTCTTATGCAGAAACATGCATGTAAGACAGAAAGAAGCTACTTCTGGTTATCTGGAGTTAATGAACAGTTTAACATTTAACATGTTCCACTGCTTCTGAGTAAGTAATGGTAGCATCTTATCTGTGCTTCATTGATAATCCTGTGACCACAGAAATACGCTTTGTAATAAAAATGAACTTGTCATCTGTTGTATAATTGCTTTATACAAGTTATTGATCACTACTGTTTGTCAATCACACTTATCATGAGGATGTAATCAAGGAGAGCCGAACATAATGTGATCATGAGGATGTAATCAAGGTAATCCTGGTGGAGGTGTGCAGCTTTGCACGCACATCAGGGAATGTATAAGGAGCAGAGCAGAGCTCAGAGCTGTTAGAGCTGCTTGTTGGATTCTACCTGACGAGGTTCATGGATTACATTTTCTAACTGGGGTGTTCAGCTCTCCACCCATAAGCAACGGTAAGAGAAATGTTTCGTTCATGATTGATAACTTGTATGAATGCCGGTTGAATAAAGCCTTGTTGTTCATCTGATATTCAAGTTGTGTTTCATTGTTTCTGGCGTCGACTTGACAACGATCCTGACTAAATAAATATAAAGTGTAAAAAGAGACTTTGAGTCTTTTAAGGTAATTAAAATAAAATAAAACATTTTATTTTAGAACATTTTTGGCGTCACGAACAGGATCAGTCAAGCTATTCCAGCAACAATGAAGTGTTTTTGGAGAAGCAAAAAGGAGCCGAGTGCTTCTGGGGAGGGAACGCCGATTCCCGTGCCGATTCCCGGCTGGGAAACGGAGGAGTTCCGATCCATTGGTGATATGTTAAGGCAGCGCGGTGGACGCCCTGGGCCGTGGGGAGAGTTAAATGGAGTGGTCAGCCCCGCCGTGGTGCTGGACCGTTTGACGCGGATAGAAGTTAAAAAAAAAGCGCCGCTGGCAGGAGTGAGAGATATGATGTGGCTTTTTGCAGAAGCATGGAAAAAACAGGAGTTAGAATTGAGCAGTTGTAGAGAGCGAGCGGCGCAGGAGAAAATCCATGCTGAAGAAGTTGAGAAATCATGCTCAGAGTTTGAGCAGAGAGTGTGTGTGATGGGGAAAGAGCTAAAGCATGCTCAGAATGTTTTGGATAAAACGCTGACTTTTGTGTCTCGAGCGCAAAGGAAGGAAAAGAAGCGACCTCGTAGAACAGGTCCTGCTCAGATCCGGGCGTTTGTAAAGAATGTTGGTGAAGATTGGGACCCGCAGAAATGGAACGGGGATCTTTGGGGGGATGATGAGGAGGAGGAGTGGGTGATTAAACCTGACCCACCACCTCAGCCCTTGTATCCATCATTACAGAGGATAAAGATGTCAGAACAAAGACCTATTACTAGGCGTCGGCGAGAACAGCAAATTATTCCACCAATACTGGTAGATATGGTGGATGATCAGGGACGGCCGGAACTCGATGAGGCGGGTAATATAAGAAGGATGTTACAACAGCAGCCACAACCCGCCCCTAGGCTGCTAACAACGCTAGAGGATTATTCACAAGATGAGTTAAATCACATGAATGGGAAGCTGAAACAGCGCCCAGGCGAACCAACTGACTCCTGGCTTAATCGCCTTATGGAGGATGGCGCGTGTGATATAGCCATAGATGCCGGTGATGCCATGAGATTTTCAGGATTAAGTACTGATGCACAGATAAATGCTGAATACAGGGCTACAGTCCGGGCATTGCCAGCTGATGAAGATTTCAATGTGGGGGATGCATATGCTCTGGCATGTCATGTAATCTATCCTACCACGGCGGACTGGTCTGAGATTAAAGGGCAATGGCAGACAGTGAGAGATGCCATTCAGCGGCTCACCAGACTCACTATTAGAGAGCAAGTGGCTCGAAACGGGGGAGCTGGAGTGGTGGACTGTAACATCTCTAAGGCAACTAGAGATCACCTCATCAGACATGCCCCACCACATTATAAACCCATGGTGACCAGCTTGTTGTTTGGCGCGGCAGACCAGACTTTTGCCGCGATAAAAGATCGTCTTGGCGAACTCACCACGCTGGGTGATTGGTCTGAGACGAGGAGAGAGGGAGCTAGAACTGAAAATAAACCCAGGATTGATCCACATTCAAGGGGTCGTAAAGGGGGGGCAATGGGCCCCTCTAGAACAGATTTGTGGAGGGCACTGCGACAAGCGGGAGTGCCGTTTGAGGAGATTGATGGATTGCCCACTAATGCATTGATGGAGAAATGCAGACAAATGGGACTGAAGGTCCATTGTCAGTTCAGACATTGTCCTGAAAAGGACGACAGGATGTCTGTGTCAGAATTGATTGGAATGTTGCAGAATGTGATCAGGGAGGTGGCGTCGAAGCCTGCTGAACCTTCCGCCCCTCCCAAGGAATCTTCAGAGGAGGAGAGTTCAGATGAGTGTTATCAGGTGGCGGCAGTGAAGCGTAGAAAGGAAAAACAGCACCGAAGGGAACATGATGATGAATAGGATGAAGGTCAAGCTCGGGTTGTTGCCAGTGCCTCAGGATGGTCAGTAAATGATATCAGACCACATGTGGAATTACAGATTTATTGGAAAAAATCAGTACAGACAGTAATGGCATTGGTTGACACTGGGGCGGAGGCCTCTGTAATTCATGGCAATCCTGATAAAATAAAGGGAAACATTGTACCTTTGACTGGACTTGGGGGGCAGATGTTAGTAGGAAAGGGAGTAACTTTGCCCTTAAAAATAGGAAATCAACCTATTAGAAATTACAGTGTAGTAGTGGCTCCTGCAAAGGAATGGATTATTGGAATGGATATATTGGCCGGAATGACTCTTCATCTGAAACATGGTCGATTTTGTTTTGGTATAAACAGAATCCACACCATTTTGGTAGGCAAGGTCAAAATGACACCTTTTCCCATTCCTGAAGCAACACAGGTGGTATCACAAAAACAATACCGGTTGCCTGGGGGTCAGAAAGAAATTACGGACACTATTAAAGAATATCTGGAGGCAGGAGTTTTGAAAACATGCACCACACGGTGGAATAATCCCTTATGGCCAGTGAAGAAATCAGATGGTTCATGGAGAATGACTGTGGATTATAGAGCGCTGAATAAACATACTCCTCCTTTAACGTCTGCGGTTCCGGATGTTATCACGATTGTGGAAAGGGTGCAGCATCACTCTGGTACATGGTATGCGGTGATAGATTTGGCCAATGCTTTCTTTACCATACCTATCCCTGAGGACAAGATGGAACAGTTTGCCTTTACATGGGAAGGAAGACAGTACACCTTCACCAGATTACCACAAGGGTATGTGCATTCACCCACAATCTGTCATAGGATAGTGGCTGAAAATCTGTCGACTTTAAAGATCCCATCAGGCATATTGTTATCACACTACATTGATGACATCATGATTCAGGGAAACACTAAAGAAGAGGTTGAGCAATTGCTCCCACTTCTGATAACACATATGAAGAATCATGGATGGGAGATAAATCCAGCGAAAGTGCAGGGACCTGCACAGTCAGTGAAGTTCTTGGGAATTATCTGGAATAGAGGGGAAAGAGAAATAACAACTAAAGCTAAAGAGAAAATAGCACGGTTCCCAATACCACAGAATAAGACAGATGCTCAGCGGTATATTGGGTTGTTTGGGTTCTGGAGACACCACATACCTCATTTAGGACAGATCTTGCAGCCTCTGTACAGATGCACTCGGAAGAAGGAGCAGTTTGAATGGGGGCCTGATCAACAACAGTCATTTGAACTAGCTAAAGAGGCAATCCAACAAGCTGTTTCTTTGGGGAAGATGTTGTCAGGACCAGTGGAGTTACAGGTTTCTGCAGTAAATGATTATGCTAACTGGAGTTTGTGGCAAAAACAAGATAGGTGCAGAAAACCTTTGGGTTTTTGGTCTAGGAAATTGCCTGATGCAGGACAGAGATATACTCCATTTGAAAAACAGTTGTTGGCATGTTATTGGGCTTTGTTGGAAACAGAAGCCCAAACTGTGGGGCATGAAGTAATGATGAGAACACATATACCCATTCTAACTTGGGTCATGAGCAATCCTACAACTCACCGCATAGGGGTAGCTCAAGAGGCTAGCATCATAAAATGGAAGTGGTATGTTTCTGAGAGAATGAAACCAGGAGAAAAAGGAGTATCAATGCTCCACGAGCAAGTGGCAGACATTCCAGAAATGGATGAAGTGCCTTTTGAGGTAAAACCAATCCAGGATTCTCCTGTGAAACTGGGGGTAAGATGGAGCGAACTCACCCCAGAGCAGCAGGAGCGAGCCTGGTTCACTGATGGTTCCTGTCAATATGTGGCAGGAACCAGGAAATGGAAGGCTGGGGCATTTAACCCTGGTACACAACAAGTTATGGAACTCACAGGGACAGGAAAGAGTAGTCAATGGGCGGAGTTGAAAGCAGTACACATGGTAATAATGGCAGCTGGGGTGCAGGGAGTAAGTATTTATACTGACTCCTGGTCAGTAGCCCAAGGAATGTTAACTTGGATGCCAACTTGGCATGCTACACAATGGAAGATACATTCAAAAGAGGTTTGGGGAGCTGACCTATGGAAGGACATTTGGGAGAAATGCCAAAATATTCCTGTGTCAGTATTACATGTGGATGCTCATACTAATAACAATGATCCTGAATCCCTGCATAATCAGACTGTAGATAAGATAGTGAAAATTCAGGCTGTAAGACAATCAAGTCCTGGATTAGCCAAATGGGCTCACGTTACTGCTGGACATTGGGGTGTGCAGGGAACATTGAAATGGGCGAGGGACAGAGGAATAGATCTCATCATTGATGATATTAAAACTGCCATAGAAGATTGTGAACATTGTCAGCATACAGGTAAAGAACCGTTGGTACTGGAAAAAGGAGACAAGATAGCTCAGTTAGTAATCAAACGGTGTGTAATGTCCAAAGTTGAAGAGATTACTAAACCTACCACTATCACTCAGAGGGGTGAAACTGGGTTTGAATCATCAGACTTTACTGCGGGGGCAAAAGTGTGGGTGGAGCAGCTCAATGGTCCTCCCAGAGCTGGAGAGATTATTGCACAGGGAAAAGATGCTGTGGTAAGTGTATTGTTCCCCGGAGAGGAAAAATGGATTAATATTCCGATAAACAAATGTTACAGGAGAGAAAATTAATGCTTGTCATTCTATCTGCAGTTTTGTATGTATCCCATAGGCGGGTGTCTGAGTGACGGTGGTTGACTGGGTCCCCTTCCCCTACAAAAGGATTGAACCTTTGTCGAGGCGATGGATGGGCTCCGCGGACCTGGTGGTGTCGGATGTTTGGTCATCGTCCTCCATGTCCTCGCTGTCATCGCACTGAGGGCACATTTCTGTTGGGGGCTCACGGAAGGACAAGTGTTGGAAGAAGGGGTCATGGGCCATCTGGAATTGGTTAGCAGTATGTCCAACCGCACTCAAGGCACATTCACATGCAGAGCAAATGACGCTTGCTACTTGGGAAACCTAACATCTACCGGTAAGATGTACCGGTGCAGAGGATGTCTTAAAATCCGAGGAAGGGTGATCAGCCCGGGGGTGTTGGTTCAAGGATCAACAGTAACCTTTAATTCTGCAGCGCGCATCTGTGCATACCATCAGGGGAATGGTACTTGCATACAAAATGGCACAAATTGGAGTATGAAGGTTGATCGCGATTTCCGGATCAGGAATGGAACTGTAATCACAGGAGGATACGCCTATTTGTACATATTCTGGGTGCTGCCCGACACAGCTAGAGCTACGCAGACAGCTGTAGCTCCCCTGGTTCACACTTGTCAACAAATGGGACAAATAAGGGTAGCCGAATATGTGCGATGGACTGTGAAATTCCCTCCTATTCCGCCTTGTAACAGGAGGAGGCGAGCATGGTATGACACCGTGCTAGGAGGAACTGGAACTTTGTATGGTCTGGCTAACACAGCAGACAATGAGGTGACACGAACTATGCTGTCCAACACTGGAGAATACACCGCACAAGCTGTCACCAAGACTGCAAGATGGATGCCTTCGACTGTATCTAGTCAGCTAGAAGGAAGTGATGTGTGGAAAAGTGTATTTAAATGGAATCTAAAGCTTTGGAATGAAACTTATGATGCATTGCATAATTTGTCACACATAGGTAATTGGACAGTCTGTTCCTTGCAGACTATTCATGCTGAGACACAGAGAAATAGGTTTCAAATACAGGTAATGAGTAATAACTATCATGCATGGCGAACATTATGGAACATCAGTAGTTCATTATGGCTACAGCTACATGCAGAAATGACGATTTGTAATAAATCTATGTGTACTGGATACTGGGATCAGTATAATATGACATCAGTAATGACTGTGTGTAGATATCAGATACTGCCGGTGATAACCACTAAAGGGTTTTGGTATCTCCATGTTAGTGGAGAGTGGTGGGATGTTAAAACAAATCGAACATATGAAGTAAAACACTGTGATGAGACTGATAAGGGTTTAGCCTGCCCATTGGTAAAAGGACATAGCAATCCATGTTTCACTGATTCAAGGGTCGTACTCTGTGATTGGACGGTCACACCCCCAGAGGAACAGTTTTGGCAGGTGGGTCCTAACACCTTATGCGTGGCTACAATGACCAATTCCCCACAGGTACCTTCAGTTCCCTTTTCAGGTTGTCTCAAGGGTATACATATGTGGGAATGGAATAACGTGACCTATTGGTTGAGTAATTACACTGTATCTAGTCGGCTGACTAAGATACAATGGGAGGTTTTACACTCCCCTTGGACACTCTCACTGGAACGATTCAAATGCGCATTGGATGGTTCCACTGAAGTGGCAAAATTGATTGACTCTCATAGGTCCAACCTTTCCAGGCTCATGGTGTCTACTCTTGTGGCACAAGGGGAAATAAAACATGTTGCTACATTGATTGAACAGGCTTCCGCTCATCATTGGTGGGATATATTTACAGGCATGTCGAGTACCGCTAATAAAGTGCTAATTCCACCTATGATTGCAGCATTAATTATAATCAGCATTCTAACATTGTGTAATCTTATTATTTGTTGGTATGTTATTCGATTAAGAAGAGAAATAAATTGGGTAATAATGCAAAGACTACGATGAAAATTAAAGTGGAACTACAAGGTATGTTATAAATGACGTTGGTTTTGATGGGGAAATGGTGATGGATATGTTACATAAATTAGATGAAAAGTTCAAGAGTGGAATGTAATAAAAATGAACTTGTCATCTGTTGTATAATTGCTTTATACAAGTTATTGATCACTACTGTTTGTCAATCACACTTATCATGAGGATGTAATCAAGGAGAGCCGAACATAATGTGATCATGAGGATGTAATCAAGGTAATCCTGGTGGAGGTGTGCAGCTTTGCACGCACATCAGGGAATGTATAAGGAGCAGAGCAGAGCTCAGAGCTGTTAGAGCTGCTTGTTGGATTCTACCTGACGAGGTTCATGGATTACATTTTCTAACTGGGGTGTTCAGCTCTCCACCCATAAGCAACGGTAAGAGAAATGTTTCGTTCATGATTGATAACTTGTATGAATGCCGGTTGAATAAAGCCTTGTTGTTCATCTGATATTCAAGTTGTGTTTCATTGTTTCTGGCGTCGACTTGACAACGATCCTGACTAAATAAATATAAAGTGTAAAAAGAGACTTTGAGTCTTTTAAGGTAATTAAAATAAAATAAAACATTTTATTTTAGAACAGCTTACAGCTGTAAATGAGTGTTTTTGCTTTCCTACTCATATTTATGAAGAAAATAACAATCACAAATATAAACATGCATGGATTTAATTAATTAATCAAATTGTAACTTTTTAAATCTGTATTTATCCAGGGATAATATAAACTTCAAGTTTCTTTTCTATTCACTACCCTCGACCAACACGCATAGCCTCTGGACCTCTGGATGTGATTTTACATTGATAGTGTCCCAATTTCATCGACATAAATGGATTTTGATTTGATAAACAACTGGAGCTGTAGGTAAGACAGCGTTTTAAACATCAGTACAAAAACACAGTGTTAATTCATCTGTAACTGATGGTGGTCCCAATGATACAAATAAAAATTAAAAACCTTTCTAAAGTCCATCTCATCTTATAGAAAAACGCATGTGTAGTCATTAGTAAAACTGATGTGATTTCTGTGTTTATAGTATTTTGTGTTTCAGACAAAGCACCACTGTTTAGGTTCAGCAGTACAAGTCCAGCTATCCAGAATGAAGAGTTTATCCTGTTTGAAGACAACTGAGGTCCTCTAGTGGCCATTCAGGTGTTGAGAAGCTTTTTGTTTTTACTGATCTGTGAACTCATAATAATTTCTACTTCAAGCAAGTAGCATTGGTAGTTCCCAGACTGTAAACACACCTTCATCAGCTAACAAGAGAAATGGAGGTCTGCCTGAACAATAGCTGTGTTTACACAAATACACCTGTGGAGCAGTTTTTTTTGTTGTGCAACAGAACCAGTTTGTTACCTTATAAGGGGAAATGTGTGTATCTGATGGGAAGGCCAGCATGCCCATCACCTGCCGAACCTCATCCAACTGTCCCCCTTCTGCTTGGCTGAAGTGCTTCCTTGCATGTCTGCAAATCACACAGGGACCCACAAACCCAGTCAGTAACAAACAGACCTCTGTAGGTGTATGGTGAGTGGTGAGTGCGAGTCTGTGGTCCTTGTTAAGTACCGGACTGCATCCATGCGCTTGTTTTGTCTGATGAGCTCGATAAACTCCTGGATTCTCAGACTAAACTCAAGACAGCTCTGGCAGAGAAAGAGACAAGAGAGGCCATGATGAAGAATGCCTGACTGAAACCCAGGCAGGCTGGTTTCACCAGCTTTTCCAAACCATTTTAATAATGATGTCCAACATGTTCACAACCTCGCCAACTGTAGCTGGTAGGTGTCAACATGGCAAGTATGAAGTCTGTGAGCATTACTGTTGCTGAGATGAAGCTGAACTACATGATGCACAAAAATAAAAAACATTAACACAAATATTCCCTAAATTAAAACACTGATCTTTAAATTGACTGAATATAAGTGATCGTCTAAATTGTATTGGCTGATTTCAGATTCAAGACTTGAAAAACAAATAAAAAACAAAAAAAACTATTCCAACAGGATTGTTTCAGACCAGATAAAACGTATAAAGTGCCGAGAGGCCGATT